TATATACATATATGTATATACATATATATATACACACATATATATAATCTTAAAAAGGTGAATTCATAGAAGCAGAGAGTAGAGCAACAGTTGGCAGGGGCTAGAGAATGAAAGAAATTAGGAAATTTTGGTTAAAGGGTACAAACTTTCAATTATAAGATGAATATATTCTAGAGACCAAATGTATAGCATGATAACTATAGTTAATTGTACTGTATAATAGCATATAAAGCTGTTTATAAAAATAGGATGTAGGGGTGCATGCCTTTGATCACCACTTCCTGGGAGGTGTAGGCAGTGGGGTCACAAGTTTGAGACTGGTCTAGGCAACTTCACATGACCTTATCTAAACATAAAGTTAACAAAGCGTGGAGAGGTAGCTCAGTGGCTGAGTGCTTACATATCCCATGTGAGGACACGGATACAGCAATCCCCAGTAGTTACATTGAAGAAGTATGTATTTTATGTGAGAATTTTATTCCTGGTATATACTAAGAAAATTTCAGATGCTTTGAGAACTTATGAAAATTCTATGTTTGGAGGGTAACATATGAAATAATTGAAGTCAGGTAATCATTAAATAATCTGTGGCAAAAAAGTTCAGTCAACTTTTTGGATTTTGTATATATTATAGACATGGTTATTTACTAGTACACAAAAGCTGCTAATTTGTAATATCTATACTCATCAATAACATTAGACATATTTTTGATGCTTAGGTAATATAAGCTATTATTTACCTGAGGCATGTAACTCTTGAATTGATTCTGAAGGTGTCAAAGGATCTAGATTCAATATAAATTAACAAAATGGTTAGATACAAGTGTACTCAGATATACACATATATTTATTAACTATGTATAATTTACATTGGAAAGTTAAAATATATTTTTTAAATTATAAGTAAATCTCTTAATGTTGCCATTTTTCAAGAACACCTTAAATTGGTTGTTTCCCTAAGAAAGAATCATGAGTGCATGTTTTTCTAAAAAGAAAACCTGCTGTGAAACATATTTTTATACTCACTATTTATGGTATCCAGCATACAAAAAGACTCACCAGGCCTTTTCCAGAGCTAGTGATTGATAGCTACTGGAAGCATAATGACCAAATCAGGGTTTACCCTTTCGAATATCTTCACTAGCTTAGCTAACCAATAATGACTTCACACTAATTTATAAAACAAACTCAAATCAGAACAAACAGAAGCCTGAATATGTTATAGTCTAATATATCATGTCCACCCCTTTTTCTTTAAAATGTGCTTTATACGTTAGAAAATAATAGAATAATATACATAGGTTATAATTAAAATTAAAGTGCCAAAATGTTTATAGATTTAATAATATAATTTTCCTTCTAAACTATTAGTGTAAGCTATAATAATTACAATGAAGTCCTTTATCATCGCAGTTTCTGCCCTTATGAATATTAAAATCATGCCTTCTGAATAGTTTATTCATTGCTTAGAAGCATTTCAAGTTCCAAAATCATTTCAGTCTTTTCTTTGCCTCTTGATGTTTGATTAGTTTCTGATGTCTAAATGTATAATGTTTATACTCTATCATGATTTTCCTGTTATGTATATTGTAATGTACATGCTATATTCATACTATACATTATATATACATACACATACACAATTTTTTAATTTGCAAAAGTAATAAATAAAAAAACCTGTTAGGTTAAAATAAAATAAATAAAAATAACCTGTAGGCTATGCTCTAATAGTACATCAAACAAAATATGAAGCTCCATTCTTACCTGCACATACAATCTCTTCCTCTCTTTGGCTTAGGAGTGTCAGGTATTTATAATGTTTCCCTCCCCTCCTCTCCTCTCTCTTTTCCTCCCCTGCCGTCACCTCCCCTGCACCCCGCTTCCCTTCCCTCTTCCCTTCTCTCTCTTCCTTACAATATACAAATGTTCCATGTACAACTTGTCTAGAGTAACTTCATTTTAACAAAATTATACACACTGAGTGATAATCTTAAATCATACTCAGAGGTATAACTTTTTCTCCCTGTAATTTTTATATCTCAAAACTCTATGGAAAGCTGTCTTTTGTAGCTAGTGAGGCACAAGACAGTATGCTTCTAGACTGAAATTATAATCTGGTTTAAAATTGTGTTGACTTTCTCTTTAATGAAGAGAGGAAGACAAAAATTTAGAAATATAGAGTTGTGTTCATCAAACATGCCAACAACTTCTGCATTTTCTCCAGGTTACCTGGCTCTGACACCCATGCTACAACTTCAAATAAAGCTGTGATCGAGGAATCAGGAAAACGGTATATATATTAAAAAAAAGGCAAAAACCAAGAGTATTCACCTGAGAGGAACTAAGAAAAATGAGGAACTGTTCATTACCTGGAATGTTTGCTGATCTTATGGGGAGACACAAAGGGATAAAGTGCTCATGTTGACATACTTCTTGGATAAAATCAAATTTATACTGGCATAAGGTCTAAAAGAGGAAAATGGAATGACTACTATTTGTACATCAAGAAAGGCAATAAATACAAACAAAAAATATGCTTTTGAACTTCATCCCTAAAAGAGGTAATTACTTTTTGCGACAACTAAGTCATTTTAAATTTTTTTCTTTTCATTTTTACATTTAAAAGGTCTGTCCCCTCCAAAGTGGGCTGTCTTTGAAGACTACTCAAGGCCTCCTCAGGAAATGATCCCATTTGTAACCTACATTCAGTTTCCACATGAGGTAAGATCCTGATTTCTCTTTTCAGCTTCTGTTAGTTGAGGTCATAACGTGTTAATTGTGAGGAAAATCTTGCTGTACCACGTGCACAGAGCTCCCTCAAAAACTAACTAAAATCATACAACAAACCCTACTAGCAAAAAGCAAGATCTATAGTTAAAATAGTGAAGCCGATCATCTGAAATTAAACTGAAACTGTTTGTGTCACTTGTTCTGAGCTTATGTTATTTAATGGGCTTTTTCTTTGCTGCCTCATCAAAAGGTCTGTCTTTTCAATAAGGTTTCAATGTAGAAGTAATAAAGTCTGGACATGGTCTCTGAGGACGATAACACATGTATTAAGAAGAATCATAACTGTAGGTACAATTATCACATTCATAACTGCTCTAGTTTTACTCTCATACATGTTAAATAATCATTCTTAAGACTAAGTTAGATTGTCATTACTATATTCACTAATACCAGCACATACAGTGAAAGATTTCCCATATACTTAGATGTTTTAGAATCATTGTGGCAACATTAGTCAATATTTTAAAATCTTGCCATTTCAAACAAGGATAGCATTTGACCTTTTTGTGCAGTAAAGTCCATAGGAATATAATTAAATTACTTATGTTAATTATCCTTCACTGAGAACATTCTCTTTGGTCTTTCAAAAATGTATAATTTAGGTCTACTGCAATTATATCTAAATGGATGGTCTACAAATGTCATGCATAGTAGGAGCACAAACAGAGAATATCCTTTCACGGAATATTTAGAAGAGTGGATTTTCAAAACCAAATGACACATAACCAAACATAATTCCCCACCCCAGAACAATAACGTTCAGGCTCCTAAGCATGACCTAAAAGGCTTAGGATTGTCGTTATTTTCTTTGGGTTTTTTATATCAATTGTTCTTTCCCAACCTAGGTCATTTCCCCTTGGGCATTTCCCTTTTTCTCAATGGACAAATGTTAATGGGGGAGTTATTAATTCAGGGGCCCTGTCTTCCTTCCTTAAAAGGCAGGTGTATGACCCAAAGTAGATTGATCTCCTGCTTCCTATATGGAATTTCAACCCAAAACAGATTGTTAAGATGGAGAAAATGGCTCCAGCTGATTAATTATGTAGCAGCAGCAGCAGCAGCAGCAGCGCCCTAGTCAAATGGTCCCTCATTTGTGATCATTCCTGTGCTCTGTAAAGTGCCCTGGTACCGGTTCATTTCAAAGCCCAGGTCTCCAGCTGTTTATTTAATGCTGCTTACTCCCAGTATCCTTTCATAAACTCCCCTTTCACGAGTTAGAATCAGATTCTGTTGTGTGCAGCCCTCAGAGTTCTAACTGATGCAACAATCTTGATCTGCCAATTTCTAGTCTTCACTTCCTCCACCACATCACATCTCCGTGGTTTTTAACTTGAGAATGCCTGAGAATCACCTGAAAGTCTCATTAAAGCAGATTTCTGGGCCCCTGTGATGCTCCCTGATTGGTTTAGGAACCACACTTGGAGAGCTATTGCTCTGAAACACAGAGTTCCCTCGTGATCTCTCTGACACACACCTTTAGTTGTGTAGAGTGATCAGTTCACATGGGTTGCCTGTTTTGCCTAGACTTAAGGGTTTTCCAAGGATATAGAACTTTTGGTGTTAAATCTAAGAGAGCCCAGCATAAACTGAAGTGAGTTACTCCCTTTCAAACAACAGAGAATAGAAATGAAGTACAAACACTCATCCACTCCTTTGCCTCCATTAAGGAAGGACTTGGGAGACTTTCTCAGTAGGTGGAGCATTTAAAAGGCTGCATTTCCTTGGTGCAGATGTTATTTTTTCATACAGAGAATGGATAGGTTAATATTTAGGCAGATATAAACAGAGACGAATTTATAAATAAATAATATAATGCAGAGTTCAGCAAATAATCCACCTCCTGTGGTCCTTACCTTCAGATCCCCGGAGGAAAACATGCTGATGTAATTGTTAACTATCCTAAACACAAATCCTCGGTCCATGAATGTAAAGCAGCGCTAAAAAGGATAAAATGCTAAGTTCAAACATTTGTGCTTGGGGAATCATTGCAGATTTTAGGAAAAATGATTATACATATTGAAGCAGATTAATCCACTTAGCTAAATGCGTTGTATAAATGTCTTTAAGAATCTCGAAAATATGTTCAAACACTCATTCACAAATGGCAACTCATTCAAATACCAGAGTATTTTGCAAATCAGAAAGTTGCAAACCCGTATTTGTCAACTGTATGAAACACCACCTAGACTTTTTCAGTGGAATGTTACAGCCCTTATCTTTTCATATAGAAAAGCGCAGATTTTAGTTGTCTGTTTCTTAACTTCTTGGTTATATTTTATTACTGTTCTTTAGTAATTTGATTCTGCATTGCTTGAGCGGAGACTGTCTGCTGCACAGCACTAAGTAGCAATGGGGCTGAGATGGGGCTGGAAGGCTTCTTCAATCTCACAAGACCTTTTAAGAGAGTACCTGTTCTCCTTTTCACTTGAGAATGTTTAAATTTGAAGAATGAAGGGAAAGGAGGAAAGCCTGAGATTTCCTTTAGTGAGCTGCCCACTGTCTTTCTTATTTTGTTGTCAGATTGTCTTTATTGTAGCAAGGAGAGACTTAGGCAGTAGGTAGGTTCGGAGGAGCATCTGTACTTGCTCTGAAACACTAAAATCCATCCTATCTGTAACTGAGCTGTAGTAGTCAAGAGTGCATTGGCAGCAAGTGAACTAGGAGGCACTGATCGTATTTACTCATGGGATGTCTTGGGGAGGCACCGTGGCAGATTGCTGCCTCTTGACATGCAAGTTTTCTTCTATTCACCCCCAGGTGTGGAAGCACACACTGTACTGAGAATCATGCAGGTGTACACCACACGGTGAGCAGAACATCTTTCTCCTGTCCAAAGAGTTAAGACAGTGTATTACAATGGTTTTGTGTTTCTTGTTTCTCTTCTCAATTTTACTCTCAATTCTCTTTTCTCAGTAAGGCCTGGACATAAATTGCTATACTACCAAGTGGAAATTCTTCCACTGAAATACACCTGTGTGTAAGCAAGGGCAATTTTCTTTAACAAGGCTCTTCCATTTGTTAAGTCATTTCTGTTTTTGTTTTACTTTCCATTTTTCTTTTGAGTTTTGTCATGTACCTATTCATTACTGTGTAATATTGCTTCATTTATGTTTTCATTTTTACTATAAATTTTAGTTCTTTTTATTCAGTAGGGAGGAGGATGTTTCCTTCCATCTCTTGACAGAAGAGTGGGAGTGGGAGATACGATGGCATAATCATTGCCTCAGAAGAAAGACAGAGAGCAGTAAGTGGTGGAGGGATGAACACCTGTGCCTTCCACGCAGTGCTGGATGCTGGCAGATGTGTTCATCCTCCTAGGCTCTGCGTCTGTAGGCGGCTGTCCCAGCCTGGCCACCCTCGCGATGTCCCCAGCCTGGAGCTCTCTCCAGGAAAAATCTGCTGTCCCCTTCCTGCTGACCAGGGGTCCTCATCTCACCATGCAGGGAGAGGAAGATCACTGAGGACATCTCTGTGCCCTAGGAACTTCTGAAGGAAGAGCAGGAGAAATGGGGCCCTGGGGAATCTTTGGCGAACATGTAAAGGCTCTTTGATTCCATGGAAGAAGGGCTGATGAGTCCTGTCACTGAACCAGTCCAGGACAACTGCCACATCCTAAAGGAGGTTGCTCTGGCTACTCTGCAGATAGACCTCCGAGCTCTTGTAGAGGACTTGTCTCCAGCATCCATGAATAGGGAGGATGGGAGAAGACCACACTGGAGAGCAAAAAGGTCAACTTGGGTTCCTTGAATTTGAAAAAAGGTATCTAATGTGGAAGCTTGTCATCTCTTTCCAAGGGACAAAGAGGGGTTATTCTTAGGATGCAAGATCATCGGAGTCAGCCCTCCTTCTACAAAGGTCCTCCTACAGGTTCAGCTTCACCAAGTGTGTGATGGGTCCTGCGTCTGCTGAACCCTAGTGTCTCCTTTTCCTCAGGTACAATAATACTCCTGCCCAAGGCTGAGGCCTGGGGAGAAGGTTTCTTGCTTTTGTTTTTGCATAACTTAATGTTGTATATGAACTGAAAGTAAATTATAGCAGGTTTTGGTACACCGTGGCCCATGGGCCAAAGCAGCCTGCCTACCACCTGTTTCCTAGAAAGCGTTCTCCTGGAACACAGCCATATTTGATCATTTATGTTTTTCTAGAGTGAAATGTCCATTGCTCTTTCTGGGTTACAATAACAGAGTTGAGTAGTTGTGACAGATGATATGGCTTACAAAACTGAACATATTCAGCTTGTGGCCATTTACAGAAAATGTTTGCAGACTCCTGATTTACAGAATAGCTTATATTCTGCTAGACTTTTTCTCAGTTTGATTCATAAGCTAAAAGCCAAATATTCTAAGTTACATTCAGAAAGGTATTGTTGTAATTAAAAAAATATTTATTTTACCAAGAGTGAGAGTAAGGAGGAATGTACTCTATAATTGGTTCAGGGATGAGTGATGGAATTTCAGATTGCAAAAAAGATCCACAGGAATGCCCTTGTCATGCCCTTCTGTATGTTACAAAGCCATTGGTTCCATTATTCCCCCCTGGATACTTTTCTTTTGCCCTCATAATTAGGCATTAGCCTATCCATCAGCTATTGCAAAGATGAGCTCAGTGGAAAAGTCACTTACTACCAAAGCATAGACTATTTAAGCCAAATATAGTAGATATGAAGATTTCCCCCTTTCCCAGAGACTTACCAGTCCATCTTTTTTTTGAACACATTTTTCTCAAACATATTTACTAAGACACCAAGTTTTTACCTTATATTAGATTATTTCCAAATGTTTTTCAAAAACTAGTTGAAATAAAGCAGGGAATGACAGGGTGAGTGGGGGAAAGGATATGCATATTTAAGCAGGAAGATAAAAATCAGAATGAACCTGTCTTTGTTATCAGCTTGTTAGTGTGCCTTATAAGAAAAGTATCTAAGCTGGTGTACTCAGGTATGAGTTGTGATGTAGTTTGGTAATAAAAAATTGAAAAAGGTTCATAGATTGTACAGAGTCCATTCAAAAACGATCTACTTCAAGGATAGAACAGCAAAAAAAAAAAAAAAAAAAACTGTACAAGATTTTTGGTGTAATTGCTGTGAAAATATTACTTCACCATGATGCAAAGTGAGAGAAGATGCTTATTAAACCAGGACATTTTTTTTATATGCCCACACACTGGTTTCCAGAGATTCTGTTCCCTCTTCATTCTTGGAAAACATTCTTGGTACAACTACAACATTGCAACAATATTTTCACTGTTAAATTCCAATGATGATTGGGTCCCAGTATTTGACTACTAATATATAATTGAATGACCAAAGAGGTAGATGTCATATGCAGTTCATGTGAGCAAATAAATACTATCAATTGCTAGGAATATAAAAAATTTATCCCAACATAGGGAGTGGGCAATGTCAAACTATTAAAAGCTGAAAATTCATCAGTTCCTTAAAACTGTGCCAAATGATAGCATTTAGCTTTTAAAAATTACTTTCCTTTTCCTTTTTTTCTCATGTAGTTCCAATGATTTATTTAATGAACCTTCCAAGATGTTTCTTTTCAGTATTCCGTGTTCACAAATGCCACTACAATTACAAATTAAATATAACAGAGTATGATGGACTGAACTAATCTTTCCATTCATAAACTTCTCGTTATGTGTGCTAGTTTCAATTTGGAATCCACATAAGCTACATATGTCAACTCTCTTTATCTGTTGTGAATCTGTGCTTTTCACTTACGGAGTCCACCAAACCACTGATGGGTACCATTTCATTGTTAATATTGGACATTTTTTGTTTGCCCCCATTTGACATATTAACTTATGCATCACCAGCAGCAATCTTTGCACCAGTGAGCATCACGGAAGATTCATTCATTCCAACAGTAACAGAGCATACAAATCAAGGTAATAGATATGGGATCTTTTCTGTTTTCTAAAGACTTGTTTATTCATTTTTTCTTTGCAATTTGGACAGGAACAGTGCAGATATTCCCTTAAACATATTTTGCTTACAGACTTGACTATACACAATTTTTCCCCCAAATTTCCTACACTTTTAAGCACTTTAAGTGAACTACCAGCATAGCAATAAATTTTATTCCAATAGGTGTTAAAATGTGGTAGAAAACCAGAGTAATTTTTTTCCTTTACCTTTTATCCCTGACCATCCTTTTCCTTTACTGGAACAAAGAAAAAGAAAAACACGAGAGGCAAAGCATTGAAGAAAAAAATAAATTCATGATAAAAACAAATTTAGTGTATAATGTGAGAGTTTGTAGCACCTTTCAAAAGAATTTAGATTGGATTACAGTTCACCCAAGACAACTTAGGTTAAATTTTCATCTACTTTATGCTTCTTAGTTTCATATTAGCATTAATTTGTAAATTACCATAGTCACTCAGTATATTGTGATGTCTATGATAAACAAGTGGTTTTATCAAAGGTGTAGTAGTTAATACTTGGATAAGAGAAAGAAGAGAAGAAAATCAGTCTTCCTAAGTTATTATCTGTTAAGGGATATTCCATAAGTTTGCATGTTGACATTTGGACTTTGCATTTTTTCTTCTCAACTCAGTGTGACTGCCTGTAATCCAAAGAAATATGACCAACTTTCATATTCATCCAGTTAAGACAGTAGCTCTTTTATACTTAAACTGACAATTTTCTTTGTTCAGCACATGATCTTTTCATCATATAAAAGAAAGCTTAGCAGCAATATAACAAATGAGAGAAATTCCCAAACGTCTCCCTGAAATGGCTATTTGGTGTCATGATCACACCTGTCAGTGATCCAGAATGTCACCTCAAGGGTGGAAATGCAGGACAGAATAATAGTGCTGCAATGAGGTATCTTTTCAAGCGTTTCATTTTTCTCCTTAAAAATACTCAGCAGCACTTTGATTTGGTAACACTCAAATGGATGCTTTTATCTAACCTTAGTGTTTCTTCAGTGAGACTCCCAAGTTAGAAACGATAATAAAGTTATTCACTGCTTATCATAGTGATGTGAATCAATTAACATTTCAGATATCTTGCACCACTGCAGAGTTGCGGTCTCACAGAACGGTACCTTAAGGAATCTGGCAACACTGTGGTTTGCCCTTTTTGTTTCTTCAAGTGCTTCCTTGTATTTCCAAGTCACGTGATCACACAGAACCATCACAAGATTGTCCAATTCATTTTGGTAAGATTCAGGAAATCTTTGAGCCCGGGGAAGCTAAGGAAAGAACAGATTATTTATAATCTGACTTATAAAGTAAGACTTCAATAGGCGCTAACTTGAAAGACCTACTGTAGAGACTGTCAAATAAAAAGAGTTCTTTGACAGCAATAATAAAATAGAAACTTTTTAAATTTCAGTGATGCTTTCTGCCATATTCATTTAGTGTTCCTCTCTATTTTGACCACTACATTTTCACTTTTCATTTAAGAGTAAATTATATCATGTTAATTGCAAACTATTCCAATATAAAATGAGCAAAGTACAATATGAGGCATTTTACGACTTATCACATCTCAATTCCGTTCTCTTGCCTCCCAACAAACAACTACTATTAAAAGTCTAATGAGTATTTTTCTGAACTTTTTGGATACATAGCTTCATGTAATTAAAAATAAATTTATTTGATTTAAAAAAATTAGAAATTCTTTGTAATAATCAACTAAGAAATCAGTGAGTGAATAATAGGATGAGCACAGATATAGTTTGAAACACTCTCTGGTAATTGGTGTGACCTGACTGTTCTTCAGAAGGGGCTCACAAATCAAGCTGCTGTGACACCGGATGCAGAAAGGCATGGCTGAAAGAGGGCATAATAATTTAATAACGCCTTAAGAGGGCTCTTTCGACTTCTGCACATAAGCGTAAAGTTCGAGATGGCCAAGTTGTTCACTTCTTGAATTTATACAGACCATTTCTACAAAACAGATAAGACTCATTAACCTTTGTAAGTTGGCTTTAGATAGATCTTTTGCAAAAAGGGCAGGGGGCCAAGAGATGGAGGGAAGTGTACCAAGGAAGAAAGAAGGATGAAAAAATTATTAAAAAATTAAAAAATGACACACAGATGCATTTTTACCATAGTTATATTTTTACTATAAGGAAACAGAATTTAGAGTTAGATGGAAGTCTTTCTTTCTTTTTCTTTTTCTTTCTTTCTTTCTTTCTTTCTTTCTTTCTTTCTTTCTTTCTTTCTTTCTTTTCTCTTCTTGCTTTTGACAGGATCTTGCTATATAGTTCAGCCTGAACTTGAACTCACTAAGTAGGCCAGGCTGGCCTTTAACTTGGGGCAATCCTCCTTTCTCAGCCTCTTGAGTGCTGGGATTATAGGTGTGCATTACCTCACTCACTGGACTACACATTGCTAAATAGTGAGCACCCAGCCTTCCATGTTGGAAGCATAAGAACCATAAAAGCTGAAGTTACAAGAGTTGAATAACATGGAGAATTAAGAGTGGAACACTGGAGGTGGCTTAGGCTTTTTTTTTTTTTTTTTTTTTTTTTTTTTAGGCAATTTACAAGGACATCACTGTATAGGTATTTTGAGGTTCTCACAGATACTCTTTGTATTAAAATTTATTTTTGAAATCAAATGAGTTAACAACAAATCAGTCTAACTTAATTAATCACTGTAATGGTTGATACATTGTGTCAACTTGAGAAGTTTAGAAGCTTAACTAAGTAACTCAGCAGCTGTACTTACTACGGTATGCAGGACATTCCCTATAGTTGCTGTTTATGCCCTGGGATGTTGTAATGGCTGATTCATTGTGTCAATTTGAGAAGTTTAGAAGTTTAACTAGGCAACTCAGCAGGGGGCAGGGGTCCTCACATTGTAAATATCCTCAGCCTGTGCAAGAGGAGGGCACAGAGATGATGTGAATGCTACACCTGCTCTAGAGTGGGTAGCCTGCATACAATTTAAGGGAGAAAAAGAGGCTCGCTCTGTCCCCTCTTTGCTCTTGTTGCTTTTGCTGTCTTCCGCTGCTGTGCAATGTTGCCCCTGTGACCCGCTGCCCTGCTTGGGAGCCAGTTGATTATGGACTGAAACCTCCACAAACTGTGAGCTAAATAAACTTTCCTTTCTTAATTTTGGGTGTTGGGAATTTTATCTCAGCAACAAGAAAAAAGTAACTAGCACAGTCACACACATCATTTTCATTCTGCCCCATATACCTTGGGCAATGATAAACTGATAAACAATTCACCTACAGGAAAGAAATAATCACTTTTCAACTAATTAGAGTACATTTGTCAGGGTATAAAATCCGCAGAACATACTAATACCACCTTCAGTGCACAGGGGCATGTATTAATCTCTTGGCTTTCATGTTCCCTTTCTGTTCCCTTCTGTGTACCTTCTCTTCAAATTCTTCTTTTGGCCCACTCTTCCTCTTAACTCAAAGACATGTGATCTGATAAGTAAATTTTCCCTGGGAAAATATCACAAAGGCTAGAAGTGGAGGAATTCTCACACTAGGGATGTAGAATTTCCTGTTTCAGGACAGGAAAGAAAGGAAGTGAGGAGACGGCATGAAACAGGGGGACAAAGTTGGAACAGGGAGGAGAACCTGGTCTATGACCACCATCATAAGGAATGGGCCTTGGATGTAGGGGCTGGACTTTAGGTATTTGGGAATTTGTTAGGAATAAGATCAGTGATGGAGAATAAAAGGTGTGGCCACTACAAGGTACCAGAATGTCTCTACTGGCTAGCAGATTGAGAATATAACAGCAGGTCCCAGGAGAGCCAAACCCACCATATGCAGGATAGCTGGGGTCAGATAGGAGACACAGTACGCCTAACCACACTGTGGGTCCAGGGGCTTAAACCTAGACATCTCTCCTGACTCCTTCAGACCTTCTGTACTCCCAAAACTGATGGCTAATATTTCTTTAATGGTGGAGAAAGCCATTCATTTCATAATTTAAAAAGTGCAAATAACTTGGAGAAGTTTAAAGTGGATACTTTTGTGTCAAATGATGATATTGGATATTTTCCTATTGTGGTTCATGGTTGGAAAATTGGGAGGTGGGCCCCTGAGAGACGGCTGGAGTGTGGGGCTGCCACTGAAGGAGGTAATGAGGGGAATTTCTGATCCCAACTTGGCTTAAGGCCAAGGAGATAGGAATCATTCTTATCTTCATGGTAGATTCTTTTCTTCCTCCCAGGCAGGAGATTCTTATCTCTGGAGCAGATGCAGTCAAAAAGCAAACACAGGATTTACAGTGAAAGGTGAAACTGCAGAAATGACTAAAGGTGCAGGCTTTCTGTCATGCTGAAGTCAAGGCTGGGGGTGGAGACCCTTGGGGTCTACATGCATGGACAGGAGCCTCTGGGTAGCTGACTCCCAGCAGGTGGCCTTGGACACTTCTCTTAACCTTCAGTGGTTGTAGAAGTGTCCTATCTTTCCCTGTTAGCAATCAGTTTTTCTCCCAAGGAGAAGACACTGTAAGGCCTTGCCCTTGGAAGGAAATAAGAAAACCCTCAGGGAGGTGAGTCATCTCCATCCCTGGGGATCAGGGCAAAAACATGAATATTTGCTGGGCCTAATAAAGTAGGGAAGAGGATAGTACACCATGAGAACCATAACAATTAGCTAGCATGTACCAGCGGGAGCCAGGGGGTACCTTTGATATCGTATAGTGAGGGTGTTTGATCAAGGGTCAGAGTTCACTGGCAAAGGGTGCTTTTTCAGGACCCAGGATGAAATAACACCTCCAAGCATAGGCAGCTCACTCTTAAAGTGGAATCCTGGAGATAGACACTTGAAGCAAAATTGGAAATGTCTGCGGTGTTCTGGCAAAAGATAGAGGACTGAGTAAAGAGAAGGTGGGAAGTGGACATGTGGGAGTGGATGTTCACTGATAACAGAAGACCCACCAGAGTATCAAGTTCCCAGGGAAACCCAGAAGACATACACACTCTGGCCATCAAGGAGGTACTGGGGATCGACATCACTAAGATGTTCAGTGGTGTCTCCTGCACGTTGGCAGGAGAAGCAGTTATGTGTGGCTTACTGGTGGCTATTGGGATAATGGGTCCTAACACTAACAGAGGCTGTGTCCTGTGCTTAATGTCCAGGAGTCTGAGGCCACAATTATCATGGTTAATAAGAAAGCTGGAGGGCCCATCATGGGGCTTTGACTGTCAGGGACCTGTAGAACAGGCTAATACTGCGTGGAATCCCTAGGGACAAAACAAATTTTCACAGTTCACATCCACAAAGAAGGCAAGACTGGACATTCCTAATTCCTTTCTCTGCTCCTAGTCCTAAGTCAGCTTTCAGATCTGGTATGAACTGACTGAAGAGGTGGCAGGCTCCCATGGGAAAGCCTGTATCTTGGTACTAAATAAAGCATATTTCATAGTGCTTTTCTCAATTCTTCTGCAAAGGGCCCATTAGCCATTTACTCAGTCTACTGTGGCCTAGGAAAGGGAATACTCATGTATTTCATGGACTGATGGACACAGGATCTGAGTTAACATTGGAAACCAAAAGCATCACCATGTTTTCCCTATTAAAGTTGGGACTTACAGGGATTAAAAGTGGAGTCTTGACTAATGTCCTGTTAGCAACAAATTCACTGGATGAAAAGATCCACCCAACAGTCATTTATCTTGTTCCAAATATATAGTTTATATTGACAAAACTGGTATTTGGAGTAGTGTTTCCCTGGGTGCTTGTCCCATGGAGCTAACCAGGTGGACGAAGAGATGGATGTGTTGACACTACCTCTCTGCAAATGGGAAAATAAACCAGAATATTGCCACTAATTCCCATCATCCCCGCCCTAAGCAACACTGTTGATTTACCCTCCTGGTAGGGGTCAGTATCAAGTGTAAGACTCTTGCCTTACCCCAGTGGGAACTGAGAGACACACATCGGGAACATAAATGGTGCCTGGGTGCTTCCTGGTCATCTCTGCCCAGTTGTCTTTGTGAATAGTCACAAGCAGCAACCCTGGCCTGAGTAGAGGGTGATGACCAGAGGCAAAGACAGTTCCGGAAAGGAGGTTTGGGTCACACTGTCAGGTTGTAATAGAAAATGGACTCCCATCCAGTATACTTCAGTTTCTTAGTTGAGCAGGTTAATAGTTCCTGTTACTACTGTATCCTACAAATAGTTGTTCACTGTGATGCATATTGTAAGAACCAACGTAAGACAGCTAAGTACTCTGTCTTTGTACTTCCCCTTACAGACCCCATAAAAACTCCCTGCCTGAGCCTTTGGCGTCTGAGATTTTGAAGGATAATTGATGCCTTGTCAGTGCCCATCTGATGTTCAATAAGTCTGTCTCCAAAGCCTGAGTGTCATTTTGGTGTTTCTGTTGCCATAGTTAGGTGAATCCCAGGAGCCTTCAGAGCCATGAGGAGGGTGAGGAGATGTAGACTGGGTCACAGAGGAAGAATGTGCTGATGGTACACAGGCTCCTGAGGAGACCGCGTGGCATGACAGCAGCTGCGGTTGATCTTACTAGCTTCCCTCATCTGTTTCCTTTCAGGACAAGAGGTCAGTGGGAACTATGGAGAGTAAATTCAGGAACATGTGCAATGTGCCCATGTGACCCACAGGCTGGGCACTCATAATGTGCAGAGTTCAGATTTTCCCTTAAGATAGAACATACTGGGAAGAACTCATCTTGGGAGCCGTTCAAGTGCTCATGCCAATGTAGCCCCCTGTTCACCAGCTGCTCTGATTCAGTGGGCTGGCAGAAGTCCTAGGGCTGGACCATCTGCCCATGGTGGGACTCCTTGAGCAGTCTTTGCTCTCAAACTGCCCAGCGGCCCTGCTAAGCCTTGCTCACTGGCAGGCTCTGTTTAGCTAATCTTTTTCCTTCCCTACTTTCTTTCACAGGTATCAGACTTCCTTATTCAGTTTTCTGTCCCTTTTGTCCTTTACAGCTATTTCTTTTTTTATTTTAAAGAGAATAAAAAAGTAATAGCAAAATAACAGCAACACAGAGAAAAACAATAAAAATAATACAGGGTTTCAAAACAAAATGATAGGAATTAACAGTGGTTGTTACATTATATATTGTTATTTTCAACAAAGTTGCTCAGATTACCAGATGTAAGAATGCAAGATTGATCAAACCATTAAAGAGAATAAAAAATGATAGAAAAATTAGAAACCCAAAAGGTACAATAGATATTGTGAAAGCAAAAGAAATTGCTCAAAGGGAAGGAATAACTGGGATGAGGGAAAAGAGAAAAAGAAAGAAAGAAGGAAGGGAAATACATATATATATATATATATATATATATATATATATATATAGAGAGAGAGAGAGAGAGAGAGAGAGAGAGAGAGATACAAATAGATATAGATAACTGAGATAATTGTACTACTGATGTCTATTGGTTTATTGAGAGGAACAGTTAATGCTTAAATTTTTTGATCAATTTTGCATGCTTATATCTGGTAATCTGAACAACTAATTTAAAGACAACAATATGCAATAAAACAACCATTGGTGAATTCCTACCATCTTGTTTAGTGAAGCTTTAGAGCTATTTCTTTCCAGTAATCTCTTGCACTTCTAATTTTGTTCTGGAATCTGCTTCTGGGTGGGCTTATACTGACCTACATCATTATTTCTCCTACTGAAAAAGCAAATTAACATAAATTGCTAAGGTTTACAAAGCCAATGAAAATGGAGCTAATGAGAATGTGTTCACAGTGTAATTGTTGGATAATATTACATTACAATTTTACCTCTAATCCTACCTGAATTTTATTTGTGTCGATCAGGTGCTGTGCCATTGATTTTAGGATAATTGCAAAAAAGAACCAGGAATGCTGTTAGGAAAAAGAAAAGACAATAAAGAATTCATCATCCTATGGTACAGTAATAATAAAACTCTGTGTTTCCAATATGTAATACCACAACATTTCTATTGTAACATGTATTACTTGAAACTAATCTCATCTTTGTAAAAGCTGTAATGGTAAAAGTACATGTCAGACATTCAGTGTCTTCATTGTCTCAAAAAAGGTTCCTTTTCATCTTGGCTTTTGGTGACATCTCACAAACCTTCCTGCTGTGCTGTTGCCTCTGAATTAAGCAAGGCCTTTTCCTCCACCTCCTCCACTCCCCACTAAGATCCCCTTGTAGCCAGCTCCAGCACCTCTGACCCACTCTGGGCTCAGGTGTTGCCTTCTCCATGTGCTCCATCCTGCAACTCTATTTAACACTTTACATCTCACCCTTGGCCCTTAGCATGCCAGTTCCTCCTTCCTGCTTTGCTGATTATCTTCCAGTACTACTTCTCACCGTCTGACATACCACATAATTTATCAGCAAACTGTACCTGTAGTTTATTGTTTGTATCCCCCAGTAGAATGTAAGTGCCCTATTATGGTTTGTGTCTTGATGTTCCTCATGTGGTTGGGGGTGGGTGTGCGCTTTTGGGAAGTGGCTGAATCTAGAGTTTGTGATTAATTCATGGTCCAATGCTGGGATTAAGAGTGTGAGTGCTATACCTACTCTAGGGTGGGTAGCCTGCTTATGATATAAAGGACAGAAAGAGGCATCTCTCTCTTTCTCTCTCTATCTCTTCCTTTGCTTGCTTTTGCTGTTTTCTGCCACCATGCACTGTTGCCTTGGAGCCAGCTGATGATGGACTGAAAAGTTTACAAACTGTAGGCTAAATAAATCTTTCTTCCTTTAACTTTGGCTGTTGGGTATTTTGTCTTAGCAACATGAGAAAAGTAACTAAGTCAGTCCCTAAGGGCAGGGACTATTATTTTGTTTTCTAATATATCCTAAATGTTTGTTGCAGAGGAGGCATTTGGAATATATTTGTTGAACAAATGGGATGAATAGATATAGGTATAGGTATAGCTATAGATGATATAGATATATGGCTAATTCAAACAAATCACATGGCTTATGGCAACTTAATTTGAGTAAATTCATGTTGATGTTTATTGATCGTGGCTTCTCTTTGTAGTTGTTTACTAATTAGTTGTTCATCTGTCAAGTCACAATAGATAATTAAATTTAGCTTGGGTCCAAGTCCAAGATTCCATAATAATTTAGCAGCACTTTATAAGCTTCCCACAGTCTTTTCTTTTTGGCAGTGCTCAGGATCAAACCCAGGGCCTTGCTTATGCTGGGCAAGCACACAGTCCCTGAGCCACTCTCAGCCTTCAGCATCTTTTCTTTCTGTTACTCCATGTATTTCAGTGTTTTTTAGATGGAAAAGTGGCTGTATCTCTGCCTCCTCTCTATGACCTGTGTACTCATGAATACATCATTGATCCTTTTCTTTGTATTTTTCCTCTTATTGTGGCAAATGAGCCACCAAACTTTCTTCATGCAACACTTGACATTTTTGAATGTTTTAGATCATTTTCAATAGTCGCTCCTTCTGCCTTTTGGCCAAAACACTTAATTTGGGCCCAACTTATTTTTTTTTTCCCAGGGTCTCTTAAAATAGATTTTCCTTACTTAATGTTTTTATATGCTGTAAAATGAAGCTTATGTCAGAAATGATCTATGGAATCAATGAGTCCTGTTACCTTCTAGGAGTAAGAGAGATCCATCCTTAGACCTCACAATTAATGGACTGTCTTTAAACTGCTTACCTTTAGGACGTGCTTTACTGTTGTCGAGTCATTTGATTTCAGGAGACCAGTCACATTTTTAACCAGTTCTTCATGTATGGTTCTCTCCTTGTATGTGCTGGTCTTGAACACAAACTGAAGAAAATCCAAAAAGTGAACAAAGTTAATCACTTAAAAGAAACAAAGAGTCAGAAATTATACCACATGAATAACTGATTTCTCAAAGTTATCTTCTCATGCCAGATTTTGCCATGAAATACATGAAGGCTCAGTGATCAGGGTGGTACACGCCTGTCCCTATTGAGGACTTTGCATGAGTCGAGCCGTGCTCACCTAAGCTCTCCTTGAAACTCTTTTGTGGAAATCAAGAGAAAGAGCCAGGAAACCATTTAGCACTGTCAAGGAAACATGGAGGGCTTTGACCCACTTACTTAGGACACATTCCCCTTCTTCCTTCCACTCGTAACAGGTGGCGTGGTAGCAATTCTTCATCCTGAAAGGGTAGAGCACCCACTCAAATGGCCAAGTGTGGAAGCAGGTGCCATCCAGAGGTGAGTAGGTGTGCTCCCCACAAGCCCAGGGTCTACCATCCCACGCTTACACACCACTGTCACTACGTTCACACATGCTGGTCATCAGTAAGATAACAAACGCTGCTTACATTTGTGCCACAAAAAATTATTGGGCAATTCAGAATTGCTCAGTTGGGCTCATTCAGAATTGCTTCATGTCTTTTAAGAACATACACGTATTTTAAATATGAAATGTTTGCTACTAAATTACAATATTTTACTTGTGAGTTGGGTTTGCCTCAAGTAATTGGGAGGGAAGGCAAGCAAGACATTGGCTCAAAGCAGAGGAACATTCACTTCTGGATCTTTCACCCCTCCTTTGAACTCTGTAGCACGTTGGTACCACAGCTGGGGCTTGAGTTCTGAAAGCTCATTTCAAAAGTAAAAGACAAAGCTAATGGACACATGAAACCAGCTCAAACCCAGAGCAACACAATTCTTCCACTGTGGATTATGCCTCATGTGGAGGTGACGTCATCACCAACTATTTCATCCCATGCAGTTATTGAGACAGAGGGCATTTCAACCAGGGCTGATATATCCTTATTTAAAAAAATTGACTAGTAGAGCCTATTAGTACTACAAATAGCTGGAAACTGTGGTTTTAGTTAGATTGACTTAATACACATCTTTGAGAGAGACATGTGTGCAGTTTGGATATTGTATATGGAGTGAGTTAGCAGCATTTAGCACCACTGAACTTGAAATGGTGCTGCAATTACTTCTGAAAAAATATACATTACACTGAATATCTCATCTTTCAAGTATATCCAAGTAGGCATTGGAAGCAGCCCATCAGTTTTCACTATGTTTCTTGGTGTGGGGCTTAATGTCTACCCAGTTGTTAAAAATAATTTTTCCTACCTGGAATGAAAAATTCAGACTCTGGTCAAGGTCAGGTTGTTACCTACGTAGCATCATGGGAATCCAGTCACAGAGTCTCAGAGCGGGACCCTCATTCGTTCCATCTCATCTTTACTCACAAAGCAGGATGCTCAGGTTGAGTGAGGCTGACTGCTCAAGTTAACAATTTAACCTTTACCACAACCTGGTCTCTCCACTGCTGGTTTAGCATTCTTTCCAGAGTAAAACTCAAGGAAGTTGAAGTTTTCTTAGGAAGTGTTTGTGTTTTAGATAGTTAAATGTATTTTTTTTTAAGTATCCAAAGGAATTGCTAACAGCCTGAAATTCTATATCCAGTGACTCCAAACCACTTTTAAACAAAGTGATCAGTCTCCTATATTATAAAGTAAAATGGTCTTGTCAGGAGATTTCAGATGTTCTGGTTAAAAGTAAAGACCATGCAAAGAGGCATTTCCAAACCATCTCTCCAGTGTTATCACAGAATATCTGAGGATCTGAGGTCCTCACCAGGACCTAGCCTTGCCTCTGTCACACAGTCACAGTGCCAGAGGGTTCTTAGAGTAATTTCCAAAGATTGCACTGGGGAGGAAAAGAACACTTATACTGAAATAAGGCTGCTGATATGAGAAATGAGTTAAGGAATTATTTTTTTTCTCCATGCCTTTGGAGATTGAAATGGAAAATTGGGGAAAGTATTGAGAAAATAACTGTTTGTCAGATAACTGATGAATAGTGAAATCATCAGCACCCTATGAAAGTAAGCTATGACCCACTCTCTGCAACACATCTGTGGTTGGAACCGGCCTTTTGCAATTGAAATGTGGGTCTTATCAGGTGAAACTATCGCTCAGAAAAATCATTGTGAAGTAACTGACCAGTTTTTCGTACATAGACTACTTTAAGGAAGGGCACACACTAATGTTTGCATATTTTGGGAAGATAGCCAACACTTCTAGCAAGTAGAAAATGTATAGACGTAAGACTGCAATGAAAAAATTTTCTTACAGATGGCATCTCAGGGCTTACTGTGGAATATAATTTCTAGTTATATTCTTTTACAGGTATACTGGTAATAGTAACAATAACTACCACTACTTTAAAAGCCAAGCTTCAAGCACAATTCTTCTCTAGCTAACATTCCTAGACATCTGGAATGTATAAGTGCACACATATCCATATATATTATCAGAGTATATTCTCTTAAATTAAACAGTCCATGTCTCAAAAAGATATAATCTATGCAAATAAAAGCATAGGTCTTCTTATACAGTAATCTAAGATACTCTTATTTATTTTTGGATGGGCTCTGTCTTTTTGTTCATTGAGAGGACATTTAGGGAGGAGCTATGAAAGTGCAAGCAGCATCACAAGTTCACTGGCAGTGATTCACAGGCCAACTGGAAATGAGAATCTCCAAGTGAACACCGGACAAAGGACGTTGAAGAAGCAGTGCACACTGATGGGATGGACAAGTGGTTCATGCCAGAAGATAAAGGACTTAACATACCAGAAGCAGGTACAAATATACAGTAACTGGGAAAATGAAATAATGCCTGAGAAAAACAATAAGAAGAGCTAAGAAAACATTACGGAAGAAACAGCGCATTCAACAAGCCCATAGCAAAAGTCTTTCTTAGGGTAGCAGTTTCACAGATTTGTGATGTTGACTTCAAAGGAAAAACTCTTCAGTTTTCTCTATTCCTTTTGTGCCTCTCTCCCCATTTTAATATCATTTGCATATGTACACAGACTTTATACATTTAAGCAGTACTTCTGGCCCATTAATGCAAAGAGACAGAATGCCGCTGAGGGGGATTCTTGTTTTGACTATGGTGGACACTGTCCAGCTATGGGGAAAGGACTTCCCACTGATTGCAGACAGGAAACAAGACAAACCACATGACACAGGGGATAGGAACAAGGACTGAGAGGAGTTTCATACCTTAATGTATGCCTGGACGGAGTGGTCCAGCTGCTCCTCATGACATTTGCCCACAATGTTGGTCAGAACCCTGGAAAAGCAAAGCTGCTCAGCAGTCTTTCTGAAGAAGGCAGACTTTGTCCTTAGGTTGCTTGGTCAACCGGGCATGTAATAGTGAGCGAATGAACAAATGAATGAGCAAGTTTCCTGCTTCTCTTGCTTTCCTCACTCCCCGGCAGTGGGTCTTTACTATGTGTGATATCTGTGATGCATTTCTAACCTTAGAACTTCTAAACACTGAGCTGTAAGTGATGGCCTTTGACTACGATATCCCACTGGAGAGACTGTGCTCTAGTTGAACCTGCCAGTTACAGTCTGTTCACCTGCTGGCACTGTCTTCTTGGACAAAGAGTCACTTTAGTGTCTAATAAAAAATGAAGACTTTTAGCTTCTGATTAAAGTCCTAATTTATTTTAAAGGGGCTTGCTTTCCAACCTATAAGCATAATACATAGTTTTGGGAAAAGGCTGAATGGCTGAAATGTAGTTTTCTTTCTTTTTTCGAGACAAAAGTTTTCCTAAGTTGCCAAGCTGATTTCAAACTTGTTTTTAATTTGTGTCCAGAACTGGCTTTGAAACTGTTAGAGACACTTTAATTTTCCAGAACTTCAGGTCTCTACTTTAAAAACTAGATTAAAAACTCTAATTTGGGAAAGACAATGTGCCTCTAAGAAGATGTTATATCTCTTTCAAGGTTGATAGGAATAGTTTTTCCAGAATGCAAAGACTAACTTTCAAAAATTACCAACAGGGACATGCAAGTAACTTATTAACTCAAGACACTACCTCTATAATGGGAAATTATGATTCCATCACTACCTACATGAGTGATTTGATTAGTACAATCAAATTTAAAATGAAAATAGTTAATAAAATGCTTATTATTTTTTTAAAAGTTCATATGAGTATGTGAACTGATACAGCTACTGGTACACTTTACTGCAGCATTTATGGGGTTGATTCCTAATAGCCCCACCCTGGAAACAATCCAGATGCCTTCCAACAAATGAACTGTTAAGCATACTAAGATATGTTCACATCAGAGAATAATATTTAGCAAGGAATAAATTATTGATAGATGAGCAACTGGGATGCATCTTTGGAGGATTATGATGAACGTCACAACCAATAGCAAAAGATTACATACTGTGTAGCCCCATATCTGTATTTCCCCAGGGGGGAACAGGGCAAATCATATACCAGTTATCTTCATATTATCTCTTTCAATTACATGTTTCAAAAGAAATTTCTTTTAAAACACAAAGTAAAAGACGTCTAACATTTTACTAATGATGATAATAGGTCATTAGAAGGTAAAAATTTAAAAGTGATAAATACTTAAGTTTGAGACAAATATTCAAATGAATTATAAACCTATACTAGTACATGACTATTGAGTTGAAATCAAGTAATCAAGAGTGTATGCAGGCAAGATATAAAATCGCTTCTCCCAGGGTTGTGTTATGATACCTGGTGACGGTTGCACTTATTTCATCTTCCTCATTTTGTACCAAAACTTTGAAGAGCTGGTTCAAGATTATAGGCAGAAAACTCATGATTGCATGAATCTTGTCCACGTTCAACAAATTCTGTAGTGAATTGGCAGAAAAAAAAGATATCTATTAAATTTAATGTATGTCCTGGATTGAAGTCTTGAATTTAAGAACTGAAATAAAATTTTCAGAAAACACAGAAGGAAAATTTTGGACATTGATCTAGGCAAAGATTTCTTTTTTTGTATATGACCCTAAAAATACAGGCAACAAAGTGAAAATAGACCATGTCACATTAGAAAGCTTCTGCAAAACCAAGGGAACAATATACAAAGTTAGAGACAATTTATGATGTGGAAGAACATATTTACAAAGTATTTATCTATCAGTGGATCTATATCTAAAATATATAAGTCACTCCAACAACTCCATAGAAAATAAACAGACAACCCAATTAAAAAGTAGGTTAAAAATCTAAGTAGCTATTTCCAAAACAAAAAACCCAGAAATGTTAAACAGGTAAAGAATAAATTATTTAATATAATTAATCGTCAGAGAAATGCAAATTAAAACCACAGTGAGATTATCACTTCATTCTTGTTAGAATGGCTATTATTAGCCAGCCATGGTGGTGCAAGTCTATAATCCCAGCACTCAGGAGGCTGAGGTAGGAGGATTGCAGTGAGTTCAAGGCTAGCCTGGGCTACATAAGTGAGCTCAATGCCAGCCTGTACTACATAGTGAGACCCCATCTCAAAACAAACAACAACACAACATAAAACAGAAAACCAAAAATCAAAACAAAACCAAAAAATACTGAAAACCAGAATGGCTATTATTATAAGACAAAGCCAGGCATGGTGCTGTACATCTGTAATCTCAGCTCCCTGGGAGGATGAGGACAGAGAATCATAAGTTGTAGCCCAACCTGGACAATTTAGAAATTTAGGAAGTTGTCTCAAAAATAAAATAAAAAAGTAGCTCAGTGTGAAGGCTCTGGTTTCTATCCATTTTACAGAAAAAAAAAAAAAAAGAAGACAAGTATCGTTGGAGATGTGGAGGAGAAGGAGCCTTTGCACAGTGCTGGTGGGAATTTAAATTAATTCAACCATTACAGAAAACAGCATCGGAGGTCCCTCAAAAAATTTAAAATAAAATATCACATGATCAAAGTCCATTACTGTGCATATATCCAAAGGATATGAAATCAGGACCTCAAAAATATCTCTGCACTGTTATTCATAATAGTCAATATATGGAATCAACTTACGCACCCATCACTGGATGGAGGGATGAGAAAATGTAGCGTATTTACACAATAGTCCACTATTCAGTCTCAAGAAGGAAGGAAAGGGCTGGGGATATAGCTCAGTGCACAAGCACCTGCCTAGCAAGCACAAGGTCCTGAGTTCGATTCCCAGTACCAAAAAAAAAAAAAAAAAAAGGAAGGAAACATTGTTACTTGAATACCATTGGTGAACCTGGAGGATACTATGCCAGTGTGACAGGGCAGAAGCAAAAAGAAAGATACTGTGTGCTATCACACAAGAAATGGCAGCCTTTATACAGTGTATACATATTTCCAAATATCATCTTGTATATGGTAAATACATATAATTTAAATTTGTGAGATAAATAAAAAAGAAAAAATGGTAGAGCATATTTGCTGGTGTATTTTAGAACTGGAGTACAAATACCACAGCTCACCTTTATCTGCTTCCCTCTTCACTGCATTGTGTTTGACATAGGGGCCTACAGGTAATGTGGGAAGGACTCTCCAGTCAACAGTAGTAGATTACAGTAGTAGATCCTGCTTTTCCATCATCTTTGTTTTATAAAAAAACCTGATCTCTGCTTTTTCTGGTCAACAGACACAGCTATTTAGAAATTATGAAATTCAACGCTTTACTCTCTGAATTGATACGGTATTTAAAAATCTTTAACACTAATCATGTCTTCATTTGCTACTCAGTGGGGAATGAAAGGTCTCTGTTGGTGTTTTTTTACCCTGGAGACCACTGAAACTACCTGCATGTCGTGTTACCTTACAAGAGCGGACGAAATTCGAGGTAGGTGACTGAGACATGTCTTTCTCTCTCTTTTGGCACTGTTGGAAAAACGCGTTCACGTGTGGATCCTGCAACAGCAAAGGAAGCATTTGTTTCTGATGACACACAAATGGTGTTACAAATGCTCATGGTGCTGAGAGCTTCTGCAGGACTGATGCCCCCATGAAAGGACTGTACCATGAAGTCAGACACAAAGCATCCATTTTCACAGGACCTTTGGGGATGGTGAAGGCTCCCTCCACCTGACAAAGCCCACTCTCTCTCCCACTTCATTCCTATAGGTCTCCACGGCTGGAGAATTACTTCCTGCAATTGTGCTTCTTTCTCAAGTTTCCTTTGTTTATCTTCCCATTCCTGCTTCTTCCTTAGCCTTCTACCAATTTCTCTCACATGTTATTTAACACATATAGGCCATGTATTGTTTAACCTGCATAGGGATATTATTTTCAGGCTTAAAATGTCCGAGTCAGCCTGATAGTAAGAAGTCTACAAAAAAAAAAAAAAAGATTAAATGATAAAAGTAACACTTAAACTGGTTCAGGCCTATCTATAATCCCAGCACTCTGGGAGGCTGAGGGAAGAGAGTTACAGGTTTGAGCCCAGTCTGGGCAACTCAGTAATTTAGCAAGACCTTATCTCAATGTTTAAAAATAAATAAAAGCAGGATGGGAGGAAGTAAGAAGGAAAGAGAGGTGGGGATGTGGCTCAGGGTGAAGGCCCTGAGTTCAATCCTCACTACTGAAAACAAAATAAAACAAAATGACAAAACCAAAACCCAACTCTTGCCCTTGAAGACTATTTGAGAATTCTCTACATTCTGCACTGAGTTATGCAGCTAGGAAGTGAGCTAGATGGGCAGAGTGAAGATATACTCTGCATGTTTCTTTGGCATTGAACACTCTAGAAGAGCATCTGAGGCATGGATCCCAATCAGACTGGAGTGTGTGTGTGTGTGTGTGTGTGTGTGTGTGTGTGTGTGTGTGTGTATTTTCTGTTTCCTAGCTGTAGTTCTTTTCTTAAAGACAGCTGTTTCCTTTTAAATATTACTTCCTCGATTCATCCAGAGTATCATTTATTGAAAGCCGACCTTCTACCAGCCCCTGGCAGGCATTTTACTTAAGAAGGAGTGGAGAGGGCAAACCTGACCTCTTCTATGTGGCCCTTTCATTACAGCCAGGAGACAATACCACACCATGACTTCATCACAACTGATTAAACCTAGTCAAGTTCCACATCAGTTTAATCATGATTGGATAAAGGCTTTAAGCAAAAGCAGGATGACATTGAGGCACATGATGAGACAACCAAAAGCTTTGTCTGTGGGGTCAGGAAACAGGGAAGGTTTCTTGGAGGAAGTAAGAGTTGGGCAAGATTTGAAGGATATATAAACTGATGAGACCAATGAGAGGAAGAGAGGGAGAAAGGGAGAGGGCGAGGTATTGCCTTCCTGGCCAAGGAATTATTGGTATCAAAGTGATATTGGAGGAAGCAAGTCTATATGTTGTGGGTGGAGAGCACAGAGCAGAGCAGGACCTTCAGCACCTAGAAATGGAGGCAAGTTCTATGAATGTGTAGGTGGTAGACATGGATGTAGAGAAGGATGCATGGGGGTGAGTTAGAAGGAGAAGGGCTAAGCCTTACAACAAGCAACTCAGAAGAGTCTGAGATAAATAAAATAGGGTTTCCTGGACATGGGCCATTTTGTGGAACCTGACTAGGTTTAATCAGTTGCGGGTAAAGAACTGGGCAGAAGGACTAAATCGGCCTTCAAATGTCAGAGATTACTGAAATTCTAACCTAATACACATACAGTAACTGTGGTAGATTAATTAATGGTCAGCTTGAGTAAGAATGCCCATTTGATCTGAGTCATCATAGTTCTGGGTGTGGAAGACCCACTTGAAGATTGCTGCCAGAATAGCATAAAAGGAGAACAGGAGGGGAAGGTTACATGCTGCTGATTTCCTCGGAGAAGCTTTATTGCAGCTGGTCTTCCTGATAGGATCTTGGCTCTTCTCCTTGTCTGAGGAATTTGGGTCCTCTCTGCTGCCAGGATGGCTGCTGTTCTCTTCGGGGGGAGCTCTGGTGTTTGCTTTCATCTTGAATGTCGCCTCCTGGCTCTAGTGCAGATCCCTCAGCCTTCAGGCACAGATCCTTCAGGCTTTTGGCACAGCTTCTCTGGACTCTAACATCAGCCCTTGGGCTTTCGGGCTCAGACCCTTCAGTCTTCCATCATGGATTCCTCGGCCTCTTGACACGAAGACTTTGTTGTGGGCTCTATGCCCACTGAATTCATGAGGGACACTGCTGCGAGATCCAGGCCCTCAGATACATTCTCTGGGTCTCTAGCACATGGACAGATCTCTTGCACTTTTCTGCATTTGACTTTTTTGGGTGAATATTATAACATAATCCTATAAATTGTGTTACTGTATTTAATCTATTCCCTTGCAAACCGTGACTGTAACAGTAACTGTACTATTTTACTTTTCTTAGCAACCAAGTATGGGCAGGCAATAAAGGAGCATGAAACAAAAATGGGAAAGCGGATGCATATTGAACTTGAGAAAGAAGAAATACATATTAAATGTACTCTTAATAATCTGTTTTTTCATTTATAATTCATGCCAGAAAACTCTTCACCTTGTGGTGACTTGACAATAATTACATATGTACAGACAGCATATTGTTGCTGGTGAAATATTTTTCTATGTAGTTTCTCACTTTGATCTTCACTGCAACCTTAAATGGAGATAATTTATAGATACAGTTTCTTGATAAGGAAATAAGGCCCAGTAATTAATTTGTCCAGGGTCACTAAGCCAGAAATTGGTGGAATTGACTCTTGAGTGAATTTTTGCCAGTCTCACTGCTCTGAGTAGGTGCTACAAATTAGACTTCATTTCAGAGTAAATAGCCAAAGATTTTATTTTTAATATTTAACAATTTTAACATCTGGATTATCAGTGGAAGAAATTATACTGCAAAGGAAGTTTCAACATGTTAGATGCATGTCCAATATTTTGATCTGATGTTTTATGGCATCTGGGCTTATGATATTAGGAGACTCTATCTTCAGAGAGACACAAAACTATAGGCTAAGTATTTTCCTTGGTAATATTGCACCACCTGCCCTTTTGACCTCTCATGGAATGAGCAGTCTCATCTTGGGCAGGCAGCAGGAGCTCTCTTATGATTTTGTGTGTTCAAGAAGGTGCTCATATTTCAGGATGACTTACTCACCTGAGTGTTCACTGTTGATACAACAAAAGTGGCCACTTTGAAGAGCGGCTTACCACCATCGACCCATTTAATGTCACTCCCACCATGCTGCGAAAAACAATTTGTTACTGTCATTGTGACAATTTGATATTAAAAAAATGAAAGATTAGTTTATGCTACTTTTACTATTACTATAGAGATGGGAAAGGCAAGATGCAAATACATTTGGTAATACTGATAGAGGAGATCAATATAATATCAGGAATTATTTTTTGTAGTTCATTTCTAGTAGCCATAAACTAAATAACAGACTTGGAGTATCGTAGGCAAACTTCATTCAGAAGTACAATGGATGTATACACTGTAGTTTTGATTTAAGTAGCAGAGAAAGAGGATAACCTCATGCCTTTTAGCTGATGCATTTTTCCTCTTAAATCATATACATTACTTAGTACCTTTCCACTTGCAGGATCTTGAGTGCTTAAATAATTAGGAGGCAGACTTGTTGCTATTGGGATATTATACTCTTGAGAGGCAATTTGATTGTGTTTCATCAGAGGAAGCCAAGCATATCCAACTGTGCAAAGAAAAAACAGAGGAAGATTTTGGACACAAATATTCCTGGCAAAAAGTGAAAGTAAAGATATTTATGATTTTTGAACACTAAACTTCACTAAACAATTCAATAAATCAGAATTTTTAAAAATTCCTTCCACCCGGAGTCAAATGGATAACACAAAGCCACTGCAATTTCTTCCTGTCAGTACCTGATGTTTCCAGAGCCTCCTTCTTTTTGGCATTGGCTTTGGCATTGATGTCACATGTGACATGATAAAAAGAAAACAAAATATGGTGTTTCTCATGCAGTTGTGTTGGTAGCTCAATTTTCACCTGCAATGAAACAGATCCTCATTGGACTGAGATTAAAATAATTTGCCCATGATCAGCACAAGATAAAGCATAGCATTTAAAAATTTTTTAAACTAAAAATCTAGATCCACATTTGATAATATTGGATGTATTGATTTAACTCTCAATAAATATATGTGCTGCTGACAGTAATGTATAATAATTCAGAACACCTAGTGTTTCTCATTAAGATAATTTATGTTACTAGAGTAGGGACTAATCACACCCATAAATAACACACACACACACACACACACACACACACACACACATACAACTGTAGAATGTAAGAAAGACACAGATTAAGAAACTATCATTAAGGGATGTAAATTGAGTAAACTGGAAGTCCTTGTTTCCCAAAGTGTGGTCCTGAGCCCGCTGCATGAGCACTGCTTGAGAGCTCATTTGAAATGCAGAATCTCAGACACTAACACAGACATAGTGACTCAACATTTGTATTTTTTTTTTTTTTTTGCAGTACTGGGGATTGAACTCATGACCTTGTGCTTGCCAGGCAGGTGCTTATTATGCCACTGAGCTATATCCCCAGCCTCTCAACATTTGTATTTTTTTTTTTCCCCCCTCCGGTACCGGGAACCGAACCCACGACCTTGCGCTTGCCAGGCAGGCGCTTTTGCCGCTGAGCTAAATCCCCAGCCCAACATTTGTATTTTAATAAGATCCCTATGCAATTCATGTGCACACTGCTGAGAAATGTGGCAGTGGTGAGTGACCTAACTTAACAGGCAATCTATTCCTTTAACAAAAAATAGCAAAACATACAAAATATGATATTGTGGTAACTAAGAAATGAACCATTTTGTCAAAATATCATGCTGGAGCTCTACAAATAATGCCCCTAATAAATATAAATATGTGTAAAACATGAAACTGGTGTATGTTACTTTGTATTTCTGCAGAGAGATGTTTTGAAATAAATGTCTACATGTATAGTGCCTCTCAGTTTTCTAAGTACTGTCAGATAAATTGACATTTAATCCCCCACTGACCATGGCCTTGTGAAAAGGATGGTTCAGAGCTGGGACCCATCACCAGAGATGTTGGGGCTTGGGTGGGATAGTTAGAACTAGGATCTCCCAGGACAAGAAGCCACATTTTCTGATGAGCTCTTTGCCAACTCCAAGATCCCATTTGGGCAAGCTACATTCAGCCCAGTATCTGCAACCAGGTACTTCTCAGAACTGTCAAGTCAAGCAACAAGGGGATTGTCCTGCAAATTACCTACCAGCTATTTATTAGACGTCCTGTTCATATAACCAGTTTATTTTCACAATGTTTAAGAAAGGATTGAAGACAGTGGTTACCCACGTGTGGTTTTTTGAGTAGCAACATTATTGTCACTGGAAACTCGTTCAGAAACACAAATTCTCAATCCTCAACCCAGACATACTGAAGACCCAAATCTAGGGTAATCTGTGCTTCAACAAGCTTTCCAGATAATTCCGATGTGTGGATTTAAGTCTGAGAATCCCTGAATTTGGACGGTTTATAAGCTTACATATGCTTTATACAGCACATGCTAACCTAGTTACAAAAGCCAACACACATTTCAAAATACACCATAATAAACAACGCAATGGAAAGACATTTTCTTCTTTAGCTTTCATTAAGGACTCACGGGAATGCAACCAGCATGCAAGAATTCCAGTTGCATAAATGCTAACGAAAACATCTTCTCCTTAAATACTGCAAATATTTATATTTTACTCTGACAATGCCTGGGGAGAATTTATAACCATTTTTGCAGTTAAGGCAATCGTCTCTGCTGTCCTTAAGAAGATAAAGCCTTCACTTTAAACCTGGACTGAAGAGAGCACTAAGGTGTTCATACTACACAGTTCTCATGTGGAAAAGCTCGTAGTTTCCCTGAGGACTCTTGAAAGTATATGTGCTTGGAAAGGATGAAAAGCCAAAGTGAGCAATGACATGGAACCACAATTATTTCAAAGAATGCAATTTTTTCATAGTTTTGGCTAAAGGTTCAAGCAGTATGGTAAATATTTGGTATTAGGGTCATAGCTCTTCACCTTAATTTTCTTTTCCCCTTCTGTCCTGAATTTATGGAGGAAAATTACTTGCACTGAATGGATATGGAGGTGGGGAGAAAGGCCAGGCAGGCTGCTTCGTTGGTGCCTCTTTGGTTAGTTATAAAATGTTTGATGCATAGCATGGTGTGCTGGACGCGAAAATGCTTCCCAGCCACGTCCTCCATGTCTTACTTCGCAGAACCAGTGAATGTGTCACCTTGCATGGTAAAGGGGCCTTTATGACGTGTTACGTTAGGATCCATCAGATGGGCGATTATCCAGTGCTTACAAGTGAGCACTGTTAACCACAAAGGTCCTTACAAGAGGAAGGCGGGAGAGTCAGAGTCAGCGGAGATGTGAGGACAAAAGCAGAGGGCAGGGATGGTACTGCTGGGAAGGAGACAGGGGAAGGGCGTGTGCAGTCTCTAGAAGCTGGAGAAGCCAAGGAAAGATTCTCCTCCACAGGCTTCCAAGGGGAGCGGCCCTGCTGACACCTGCACTTCAGCCCTGTGGCCCCTTTGTCCTCTGACCGTCAGAACTGTAAGACACGTGAGCACTGTTTTAAGCCACTACCCTGTGGCAATGTGTCCTAGCATTAATAGGAACTGCACATAAAAAATAGACTCTTTAGATCCCTGGCATTAGATCTGCAAGTTGCATTCTTTCAGACTTTGGTTGTATGGTTAGAAATTAAGTGAGATGCCTGAAATTTGTTTGTCTGGAGCTGTTCACTACAGAAGCTAGCATGTGTATGGTAACTTACCATTGACCCAATGACATTTTTATATGTGTTAAAGCAGAGTGATCTGGAGTCATCACATGGTCTGATCTGAATTCTGATTGTCACTTATTATTAGTTCTGTGGTTCTGGGAAAGCCACATGACTCCTCTGATCCTCCGTTTTCTCATCCATAAGACAGGGAGGTAACAATAGTAGCTACTTCTAAGAATGGCTCTGCACATTAACTGAGGTGGTGTGTGTGTAGAATACAGCCTGGTGCTTGGCGTGCACTGGGGTGATCTCGAGTTGGCCAGGGCAGGACATGCTCCTGCCATGATGAGAAGAGTATAAGCTTGTTCAGTCATTCAGGTTATAAAGGATGGTGTTAGCTCACACCCGTGTCATCTGTTCTTTCTATTGTGACATAAAATGCTGCCATGGTTGGAAAAGTTATTTAGCATTATCTTTATGAAATAAAAGAAAAAGACAATCTCCCTGTTAAAGAATGAAACAGTAAAAAATCAATCCTGTGCTTAAATGTGTGAATTTGTAACACACTGGAGAAGCCACTCAATTGGTGGCGTTTATAAATCTTAGTAAGCACATACCTGCCAAAGCCTGTCCTTGGCCTGAGGTGTGCTCTAGGAAGAGTGTTGATTGAACCCACTCACCCATCCTCTTTACAAGTTGCTGGGGCAGAGGAGCCCTGGCCCTTACCTCATCGGAGAAATCCGGGTTCTGGGCGTGGTGCAGAACTGCTGTGTAGGTGGCTGAGGTGAAGAGGGGCCCTCCAGGTTTTCCATATATGCACTGTGTAGAAAGGTATGAGGGGGACAATTACGTGTTTCTGAAATAGTTAAAAAATAGTCATGACCCTTGTTATCAATTGCAGGGCCAAGACACACTGTGTGGTAACTTACCAGGCAGACCTAACTTTCAGTTAACTTTGAACTTCATTGGTGTGCTGCCCTGCTTTTATCATACAGTGGGGTGCTGAAAATCTGGAAGTTTTTATGCATTTTATAGGAATGATGTCAGAGCCAAAAACTTGATCTTTGATTATTGTAAGTAAAGGGTAACTTGTTCAAGACTGATTGCTGCAGAGTGACTCCTAGAAGGGAACCATGATACCAGCTCTGGTCTAGAGTCAAGGTCCTGGGTGACCACAAGGGTTGTCTGGACCCCAGCCCTGAGCACTCCAGCTTCCTCCTGTGAAGGCTGAGCTGGCAGGACAGGTCCCGCTCCAGGCTCCAGTACGTGGTGATACTGATCTATCCCTGCCCTAATCAAGCCAGGGAATGGGACCGGGCATTTTCTAGTCATGCACTTTAGAAGCCTGCTGTAGCTGAACTCTGAGCCATTTGCTGGAGCCTGGCATCTGACCTTGCTGTGTCTCTGTATGGTGTTTACAATCCAGTAAAACATGGGACTTACACCCCTGCGATTACTCTTCTTTCCTAGGATTTTTCACACAAAAACTGCACTCTATGAGGCCTAGTATGTCCGCGCACGGTCCTTGTTTGGTGATTGTATTTCACTTACTTTTCTGTCCCTAGGCTGATGATTGTGTGGAGGTTGTTACCTGTGCACCAGGACAGTGGCTAAGATGATTTTGAAGAACTCTTTCTGTTTCTGCTGTGTGACTCATTCATTCTCTAACCAGTCATTGTTCTTCTGAATAATCCGACAAACCTTCCTCGAAGCATATAGCTCACTGCATGAGCCGCAAGGCCAGCAAGGACCTGCGCTCTCAGAGCACATGGAGGCCGCCTGGGATGTGGCATTTCAGATCACACAGGAAGAAGCCAGAGCCCAGCTAATCTTTGCAAAGAGCAGCTTCTTTCAAAGGGGAATCTGCATTTATTTCACATTAGAATGGTTTCCTTTTTTCCAAATCGTGAAAAGCTAAGGGGGCTACCAAAGGCTGGCATGTCTAATAGCGTTAGCTAATGACGGCTATTAAATCAGGTACATTTCAGAAAACTGAAAGCAAATGCATTAAATTGTTCCTCTTTCAACCTCACTCACATTAAAAGCCCGCCAGTAACACAGAGCCAACACCTCTCCCCCTTCCTCACGCTCTGTCCCCTCTGGACCTGGCTCACCTTCACAGGCTTGGCACCTTCTTTGTCGGAATTTTTGAATTCAATGCACACGGTTATATTTCGTGCCTGAAATGACAGTGGGGGGAAATGGAAATTGTAATTTCTTCTTCAATAACACCCTAAAAAATCTAAGTGCCTAAAATAAGTAGCTCCTAATTCAATCTGGAAAGTGTAGAATAACCAACATTTTCTTGTGACGTTAGGCACAGTGCTCAGAAATAGCAGAAGGGTTTGCAAAGCTTTCAAAGGAAAGCAAAAGCTCATATTGGAAGGGGCAGGGTGCTATTTTCAGAATATTACAGGAAACTAAAAATATGGTCTAAATAAAATTCATTTAGGGCTGATTTCAGACAGGATTAGTAATATGTTTCTGAACTGTGTATCTTTAAACAGCTCTAAGATGGGCCACACGGCTCCTTAGTAAGTGTTTTCCCCAAATGATTTGCTATTTGAAGTGCTGGCCAGTGATTTGCAGTTGCACTTTTAGAAACTGTCTGGCAGCGTCTTGTGTGTGGTGCAGAGAGGAGCTGCTACCTCAGAAGCTGGTTGCATACCTTGTTGAAACATTTCTGGCTGTCGTATTTGAGGTGTTTGGGGTAAATGTAAATTTGATTTTTGTACACTCTGTAAGGACGGCAGTGCTTGGTTGAGTCATAAATAAATTCTTCCACCTCCACTGTGGGTTCTGATTGAGCCATCATGTTGAAAGGCTTGACAGGGATAAAGGACGATGTTACACAGTCTTAAAAAATCAGAAAATAAGAGTTTGTCATTTAATATGGTTCTTCTAAAAAGTGAACAACATTTAACACATTTTAAAACAAATGTTCTTAAAACATAAACTTCATACTTGTGTACCAAATGATGTTGTGCAGTGTTAGGGTAAAAAAAAAATAGTAAGATGTAGGCATGCTGAGTAAATAAATTATAAATTTAATATTAAAGTCATGTCTAAAAGGCTGGTGAGTCTTTTAGATGTATTTACATCTACTTTTATATTGTTTCATTTAAAAAATAAATTTTGGCTAATGATCCTCTACATATATTAACTAGATATTATAAAATAAAGAGTAACCCACCGATCTTTACTACATTACTAATATAAGTAATACAAATATGGATACATGACAGGAAAAAATTGCCTGTTAGATCTATTACTAATAGTACCAGATAGATTAATACTAATTCTTCTCTGTGGAATGATTTCACAGTAGGTCTTGGAACCTTCTTGACATTATTTGTTATGAGATGTTTTATATTTCCCTTCAATTTTTATAGGAGCTTAAAGTATAACTTTGTAGGAATAATTTAAGAAAAAAGAGAGAAGAGCTCAGTGGGAATTTACACATCGAATTTCTCTTGCTAAATAGTTTGAAGGCTGCAGAGGCTGTAGTTTGTCGAAGCAGAGGACAGCAAAGCTACTGCCCTTTAGCCCAGAGGGAATCTGCCCATATCCAATAAAGCACAGTGACTAGCTATATGTGCTTGGGAGTCAGATTACAACTTTTTCCTAAGTCAATTTATAATATTTTTATTTTACGTTCAAATTTCTCTAATGTCTTACCATTCTTTCGAAGAGAATATTTAGCTTTCTCTCTTGTTGCTTTTCTTTTCTATATGTAATAAAAGCCCCAGCTTCCCAAGTCAGGTAGAGGAAATGGCTTAGTTTATCTTCTGTTTTTTCATACCAATCAATATAAAGTGATTTGGAGTCAGGGCTTAACTTAGAATGTTCATTATATTTCGTATTAAAATGCTTTGTGGAACATTACACAAATGGAAACCTTAGTAGTGCTAGTGGCAACACAAATGTCCTGTGACAACAACTGTCTCCCTGGTTGTCATTCACTATAAGAAGCCTTGACTTGCTCGGCGTGGTGGCACATGCCTGTAATCCCAGCACTCGGGAGGCTGATGCAGGAGGATGGTTGTGAGTTTGAGACCAGCCTGGGCTACAAACTGAGCTCAAGGCCAGCCTGAACTGCACAGTAAGACCCTGTCTCAAAAAAAAAGACCAAAAAAAAAAAAAAAAAAAAAAAAAAAAAAAAGAAGAAGCCTTGACTTATTCTGAATTTTGAAACTTTCTGGTGTAGCCTAGTAAAAGTTTTTAAAATTTTAATTTTTTTCTTGACCTAAGCAGCATTTTTGAGTACATTTTGAAAAACATAGAACCTCTGTGCAGTAACAGAGTCCAGCAATATTTCCATTGTAATCTTTGCGTGCCTCTTGGGGGACTACACCCAGGGCTCAGAACAACCCTCTGGCTACTCAGCCCTCTGGAAGAACCAGCCTGGACTGTGAGTCAGAGGAACTGGATGGAATACAGATTCTTCCCCAGTGGGTAAACAGTTAATTCATCTATCTGAACCTGACTTTACTCATGTGCAGCCATCCAGGGTTTTACGGATTAAATGATACAATTTAACATCTTGCTGACTATTCAACACTGATTTGCATATATCAGATAAATATTCTGCAACCCAGAATGTAGTCTAACTCACGGTACTGATTGTCTAAAGGGAGAACTAAGGAGGCGCATTGCAAATTCCATTTCCATAACGAGTTTTCATTTTGGACAAAACAAAACAAACTGCAAAAGCTTAAGGGATCAATTAACCAAGCAAGCAAACAGAAATCTCCACTGCAAGTTCAAAACTCTGTAACTGAGTCATGAGGTCATCATCATACTTGGATGATCCAAAGGAACGTTGTCCACAACGATATCCAGGCTCCCAGGAATGATCTGCATTTTGCTGATTCGGTCAGCTCTGTAAAAGTACAGAAACACACACACACACACACACACACACACACACAATTATTTTCATATTTAGCAAAAAAATTTACTATAATTCTGAGTTCTGAGAAGGGTATACAGAAGACCCTAAATCATCTTTGGTGATTTCTCTTAGCTACTTTAATTTTGGAAACTGAAATTTATGTGTGACTGGAAATAAAAAATCATGGAGGAGTCAAGTTACAGATATTCTGCAGAATATCTTCAATTTATTTTTTCCATCTTCAGATAATGCTTATACAAATGGCCAAACAACTGTGATGGTAAATTTTATAGTCTGATGAACACAAAAGGTGTTCAAACCGGCTTCAGCGACATGCTTTACGTGATGAACGTTAAGTATTGAGAGAAAGATGGTCTTGCTACAATTCCTGGATTTACATTTTTCATCTTAATCAACAAACAAGCTTTTTCCTGCCTTGTCTATGCATGTAGGCCCACATTCCTTCTGCATCTCACTCAGCTACATCTGCTCCCTGACTCCCGAGTCGCTGCAGTTCCTTCCCTCCCTAAAAACTTATCCCACCAGTCTTCCTTTATAGTAGTGTGGAAGTTGCTGAGAACAACTTTAAGTATTATTGCCTTAAGAAAATTTACCTTGAAAAGTGGAATACTTATAGCAGTGGTTCAGTTTGGGAAAAGCTGATTGTTATATTTTCAGGAATTTTGCATATCAGTTGTCAAGCAGCATGAATAACTAAGTTAGATAAATTTAATATTAAACAAATTGCACTAAACCCAAAAGTAATAAGTACTCAAAATTCATTACTTTCTAATTATTTTGTTTATTATTTATGATAAGATTGCCCACACCCTTGAGGTTGTTTACATCTCATTGTGTGGTGTAAGTGGTTTTTAATGGTGTGTACATCTCTTCCCAGCCCTGTGTTCAATGAAGCCTCATTAGCAGCTTGAAATTATCGATGGCAGAATTCACATGACAGAAATTGGCCACCAGTACTAATTCATTTCCTCCTCTAGAGAGTCAGTTGTTAAACATTTATCTGCACACCACTGAGACTAAATGTCTTAAGGTGTGAGGCTTCCAAGAAATATGGTAATGTAGGTTGTAATGATTGATACATGGTGTCAGCTTGAGGCTTCTAGAAGTCTAGAAGCTTCACTGAGTAATTCAGAAGCTCTACATCCCAGTGTGTAGAGTACATGCCCTTACCACTCTAAGATGTTGTTTCTTGTGTCAACTTGAGAAGTTTAGAAGTTTAACTAAGTGATTCAGGAGGGGGCCAGCGTCTTCACTTTGTAAACATCCTGAGCATATGCAAGAGGAGGGCATAGAGATGGTGTGAATTGTACACCTGCCCTAGGGCGGGTAGCCTGCATACAATATAAGGGAGGAAAAGAGGCTTGTTCTCCCCTTTTTGCTCTTGTGGCTTTTGGTATTTTCTGCCACCTTAAACTGCTGCCCCTGTGCTATGCCACCCTGCCTTGAAGCCAGCTGATTACAGACTGAAATCTTCACAAAGAGTGAGCTAAATAAACCTTTCCTTCCTTAATTTTGGGCATTGGGGTATTTTGTCCAAGCAAAGAGAGAAAAGTAACAGAGACATCAATTTTGCACTGTATAGTCTAGATGCCTCTTAATTGCCGCAGTGACAGCCTTCTTTGCCATTCACAGATAACATGAGTTTTGTGAGAGGTTGGTTTCCTCTGGCTTACATCAGAATGCTCAAAACCCTTTTGCCTACTCCTTTTGCTCAACATTATGTTTCATGTTTCATATTTTTGTGCACTGGCAAAAAGCACTCTTAATTTTCACTGGTGGCTTGCATAACCTTGCTAACACCATAGTATTTGGCCAAGATATTGGGTGAATAAAGACGGATAAGGCCTCCTCCTACTGAGAGAAGTCAGATTGGCTCAGGGATTCCTCCAAGATTTTACTTCTCATCTTTCTTGTACTTTCTAAAGTTTTTGTTCCACCAGAATAAAAACAACACAAGGAGAGCTCTTCCCTTAGGGAGAGATATATCATCTACTGACATTATAGAAAATAGGAATTATGCTTATTTCATGACATTGTACAATTTTTGCTTCAAATAAACAGTTAATTGGGAGGAGATTGCTGCTTCTTAGGTGAGAGGGTCAGACAGGTAATATTTGGAAAGGGTACAAGAATACTGTATGTATTAGGGACTAACAGTTTAAGATCAGTAGCCTAATGAAAGTCCTGTCTTCAGATCTTGCTGTATTGTGATTCATTTAAAAATGTATAGTTTTTATATTTTTCTTCCCTTAACAATAATCTCTGCTACTTCATCTAAAATATTTGAATGACAGAAATACCATGATTATCTTCATAGCAATTCAATTGTTCCCTAAAATTTTAAAACATGGTCCTAAAATTTCTTAAAATTCCTTCTTTTGAGAAGTGTCTGTGTTCCCTTCCTTTGAATCCACGTTCTGTGACAGATTGATATTTGGCTATGGCAGAAATGGCCCTGCAATACTTTCCAGGCTCAGGTCTCAAAAAATAGGCAGTGGTCATTTCCTATCCCCGAGGACACTAGATTCTTAGAATTCAGCCATCTGGCCAGAAGAGTATCAAAGCATGACATGGAGAGGCTCCCATGGGAAAGAGGCAAGGTTATAGCCCATAGACACAGCTGAGCTCCCAGCCAACAGCCAGTACCAAATGGCCGTTAATTAAATGAGCCCTATGCAAGTGGATTCTCCTGTCCCAGCTGACCTCCTCTAGCTGATGCTACGTGTAGAAGACACACTCTACTCCCCTGATGTGCTTAAATTGTGGCCTCAGGGATAAAGCAAGCAGCATTGCTATTTCAGGCAATCTTGTGAATGTTGGGGTCCATGTTACAGAGTTACAGATAACTGCTTTTTCATATGATCCAGCAATGGTGTGGCACCATTTGGGCACATGCGAAGTCTCCTGAAAGCATCTGCCTATATTGGAGTTTGGACATCTGAGACTCAGTTATCGTCATGGAGTGAGAACAAACCAAAGGTGGCAGTGTGGCCGACAATGGTAATTTCAAGAGCATCCAGAAACCATACCGTCTGTAGTCTGACACCAGTTTTAGGAGGTCCTCAGTTGCAATCTTGCTACTTTCTTGTCTATACAATGGTGAAAATCTTGAGTCTCTGTCCACATTTCCCTGGTTGTCTTTAAATACTGACCTTAAAGAGAATAATAGTTATTCAGGTTGGTATCTGGTTACTTTGTGTAGAATTGTGTTTTTAAGGTGAGGAAATGAATGTGATTTCTCATTTATAATGGAACAAACTGTAGAAACTTCTAAGAAGATGAAAGAACCTCTTGACAAAGGTTTCATTTATACATCATACTTGCTTTGCTTCATTTCTTATTTTTAACTTCACATTTTAAGTGACATCAGTCCATTTTACAATTGTTTTTTAAACTAATGTCTTACACTTAGTAACTGATGTAAAGACCTTAGAGTAGGGTAGAGTAATAAGAACAAGCTATTCTTTTTCATTATTTTCTCAAGACATTTTGAACCTGGGCAAGCCAGGGCCCTTTCTCTCTGAGTGACACCATTAATGAAATTGGGATGATGCTATATATTGTGAATCTAGAGGGTGACAGTCACAAAACATTTTTGTGGAAATAAATAGGCCCATGTCCTCACTTTTAAAATAAGAAAAAATAAAGTAGAGGAAATCTGAGTCATATTTTTTTTGTTTTAAATAAGGAGTATACCAGAAGCTGGGTGAGTTGGTGCATGCCTGTAATCCCAGCACTTGGGAGGATGAGGCAGGAGGATCATTGTGAGTTCGAGACCAGCCTGGGCTACATAGTGAGCTCAAGGCCAGCCTGAACTGCATAGTGAGACCCTGTCTCAAAAAGATGAAAATAAATAAATAAATAAATAAATAAATAAGGAGAATACCATGACCAGACCCATTATGTTCTTCCTGGATCCATTTCACTGGAGCCATATAAATTCAGTTAAATCTTTGAGTTGTTTTTGTCCAACTACAGTAATGTCAGGCAATAGTTCACTTACAGTATGGTTAAATATCAAATCTTTCTTCCCTGTACTTCATCATAAGTTGTGCCATTGAAAAAGAATTAGATTCATGTGTAATTGCCTTTACTTCAGCATTAGTGAAATGTTTGATTTTTATTTTTAACTTAAGGGCCTTTACTAGAATATTTTATCATTCTTCAAATTAACCAAGTATTTCAAAATATGGGCTGAAATGGCCTTTAAATGGATATTAGAGCATAGAGCTCTAGTGTAACATGGTCAATGGGCCAGAAATGTATCAGAATTGTATTTTTAGAGTCCTTTAAACTGTTTCCTCATTTCTCTGTTAAGTAGTGAATGAGGGGAAACAACAACAACAAAAAAATCCCCCTATAAAATGATACTGGGAAGGCAGGATGAAAGTGCTTCATCTGAAAGTAACTTTTATTAAATATAATATAGACCTTTTGTTCACATGTGTGAGATGTTGAAACTAGTGTTGTTTCCCAGCATGAGAGGAAGTTAAACTGAATTGAATAATAATTATTAAATGAACCAGTGAGTTCAAATACATGGCTATATATGAATTACATAACTCACGCTTGCATCTATCCACAGCTCTGTCACAGAAATGACTCCCTTAGACTGGCTACTCATCATCGTGGAAGGAAAGAAGAATATAGTACCATGGGGTAGTTTTGCTCACAGTGATTAATAACCTCTCATTGCTCAGAAAAGACACTAACTGGCAAGAGACCAAGGAACTGAGTCATTCACACAGATGGTTTCAGGATGGCTGGGACATGGTATCGGTTCCAACAGCTACAGCTGGGCAGTGATTAGTGTATTATGAGAATCTCAGAACCGCGACATTTGGAGCACAACAGAAAGGAACACAGTGTTAATGAAACAGAAAAGTGCCTTAGGTGTCCCGATAGTTTCATTCCTAGACAATGTGAATAGGTGGAATATATAAGAAGTATTACTTTTTTTGTGGCTGTGGGAAAAAGTTTAATGGTTGTCAGGTAGTTTAAGAATTAAAAAAAAAAAAAAACCAATTATCTAATCATTAGACCTATACAAGGAGAGACAAAAGAAGCCATTGCACATACCGTGTTCTTTGTCCCTGGAAGGATTCAAACTGGGGTTAAACAACCATTTTGGGGGACGTTGTAATAGCTGCAGGGTGCACCTTCTTTACATGTACAGATAAAAAATAAAATCCTTGTTTTACCTTTGTTTCATTTCAAAAGAAACCCAGCACTGTGTGTTAGCCTATTCAGAATAGCAAATGAGGCAAAGTAAAGAAAATCAAAAAAGAGTCCTGGAATGGATTTAGGCACTTATGATTCTGAAGGTGACATGAGTGGAAAGAGTTCCATTTGTAACAAACACATTGGTCAAGATCTGATCTTCCTGAATCATGGAGAGTAAAATGTCCTTTGTCTCTATATGTCTGTGTTCTGCATTCTCACTCCAGTACTTTTGGCTACAAAATGGCCACACAGCTGGTACCAAATAGAACTTGCACTACATTAACTTAAAATAAAATGTTCCCAGTCATGAGTGTCTGTGTGTAGCATCTTGTGTGAGATGATTCTATCTGGGTGAAAGGTGAGCATAAACAACACTGTCAGGGTTAGTGACAGTTGTTTAGTGACACTCTTTTAGTGACAGTTGTCTTGAAGGGTCAAAATGTCTTAAGAGACACTCAAAAGTATTATGTGAAACAAACTGTAATCTCGAAACACAACAGAAAGGAAAAGTAGCTAGAGAATCTGCAGGATCACTAAGGTATTCAAGTAGATCAGGAAGTTTACTTGTGTCAAAATGATATGAATAACTCCAGCCTTCCACAGATCCTAGCATTTTTTAAGCAGGTTTTGTACCAAGAAGGTAAATAAAAAGTGTTATTTAGCTGAATCCTATATTTTTTTGTAGTTAGATAATCCAAGTGGTCTAACTTATTATCTATAAAACTATACTCCTAGTCATTTTCTTGGTTGCCAGAGAAGTTTATAGAAATGAAATTCATGTATTTTTATACACAAATTGGTAGTGTACATTGTTTCTTAAAATACAACCAAAAGCACTAATTAGACACTCACATAGCAGGAGCTCATGGTATTATTGGCTTTCCCTTCCTAGGAATAATGACTCAATAGTTCAATAGTTTGTAACAATGTCAGTCACCCTGGAAAACTCCCTGTCTTCCTTGTGTCTTACTGTATGAGGGAACTTCAAAGTAAGATCAGTCCTCTTAGTGCTGCAGGTTCTTTCAAGAACAGGTAATTCTTTCGTCTCTTTCCTCCATATTATTTTCACTGACCCACATTTGTTGGAGATGGGGACTGGTTGAGGTGGATTTTATTTCCACATGTGAATTTAACAATTATAGTAGTAATAACTTCCAATAATAGCTCTCTCTTACTGAATACTTATCTACACTAATTAATCTATGTCTACATATTGTACATTTAAAAAGAGGTCAAGACAGACTATAACTTGCCTATGCTCACGTGGCTGGTCCAGGATAGAGTTGAAGTCTCAGCCCAGCTCTGTCTGTCTTTCAAATGCTTACTCTCCAATCTCAGAGCAATGTTGGGATCCTTAAAGCAAAACTGTGTTCACTGCTTGTTATGGTTGATATATTGTGTCAACTTGGGGAGTCTAGAGGTTTGGCTAAATGACTCAGCAGGGAGTCAGGGTGCTTACTTTGTATTCATTCTGAGCCTGTGCAGGAGGAGGGCATGGAGACTATGTGAGAGCTACACGCCCCTTAGTTGGGGGTAGCCTGTTTACAGTGTAAGGGAGGGAAAGGCTGCCTGCCACCACTCCTCCCTTTTGCTCTTGTTGCTTTTGCTGTCTTCTGCTGCCATGAACATTTGCCCTCTGCCTTGTGCCACTCTACCTCGGAGCCAGCCAAGTATGGACTGAAACCTCCACAAAGTGTGAGCTAAATAAACCTTTCCTTCCTTAATTTTGGGCATTGGGTATTTTGTCTCGGCAATGAGAGAAAAGTAACTAAGAGACTGCAATGATTTTCCTGTATAGGAATTCTTCATTTTTGCAAAGGGACATCTTGTCTCTACTCATCCCAACAGGTTTCCCTGTGGGACCTGAGATTCCTTAACACTATGAAAATGTCTGACCAATGAACTATGAGAAATAAAATTAATTATGTGTCATAAATTGCTCAGTATATGGAAATAACATTTTCCCATACAGATTGTTATGGCATTCCTTATAACTAAAGATGGAAAACGATATTCATGATACTTTATGCCAAATGCTTTTGCATCTGAGGTTGCACACACAGTCCATGAGGCAGGCATTGTCAGCTCCATTTTATAGGAGGAGGAGACCCTAAAATTGGGAAAGAAATTTGCCTGGAGATACCGGAAATCGTGGCCTGACCTGGACTCCCAAAGTTGTTGGACTCTAGAGCCTGGCCTCTTTTTTTTTTTTTTTTTTTTTGAGACCTGATATTGCTATGTAGTGCAGGTTGGCCTTGTACTCACTGTGTATCTCAGGCTGGCCTTGAACTGTCAGTGATCCTCCTGCCTCAGCCTCCCCAGTGCTGGGACTACAGGCATGAACCACCACACCTAGCCAATGACTCTCTCTCTGGCCATAAACTGCCATAGAGAAAACTGATTCCTAGAGACTGTGAGTCTGCTTTGGTTGACCACTGCTCAAACTTCCACGTTTCTTCCCCGTGTGTGTACCTATCCCCAATTTCCAGTAATGACGTCAAAATCCTGACAAATATTGATGAGCTTATTCTGAATCTTTTTTTTTTTTTTCCAATACCGGAAATTAAACTCACAACCTCGTGCTTGCCAGGCAGGCGCTGTGCCCCTGAGCTAAATCCCCAGCCCTGATGAGTCTATTCTGAATACGCTCATCGTTTTAGATTCAACTGTTTGATCTAAAAATACGGTTAGTAACAGGTTCTCCCTTCTTCCTAGACTTTACAGTTACTACCCCTGGGATGACACCACTCACACTCAGATGAATACTTAATAGCCTGTCCTGTGTTGTAACTCGTTGGCCTCTTAATTCATGCAGTTTGTACCTTGTTGACCTTTGTGTTTTCTTCCTTATGAGGAAGGCTATAACAGGCTTGTTTCCCTTTCAGAAATTCTCATACTAATCAAGATACAAAGAAATTGAGGATTACAATAGTAATTGAAGTTAAAGCAGATTTTAAAGGCACATTTTGTCCTGTAGTTAGAGGATATTTGTCCAGATGGATGGCTCCAACATGACTATATACTGAGCTCAGCATTTTTATCACAGTAAATGGGTATGGTTAAAATTGGGTATGCTAATCTGTGTCAAAACTGAGAAGAATTTTAAATAATCAATTTGACAGTGTTATTTGCACATCCATATACACACCTGAGCTCTAGTAAAAACGTGAAATCGTGGTGCAGCCTTATGAATTTTAGGCACGTTAGAGTCTCAAACTAACATGCTAACGTCAAGAGTTTGTGAAACTGAATATGCAAGGGTTTATGAAACCAAATGTGGATAATAAACTTTGATTTGACACCGACCAAGAATATACAGCTCCCTTAGTCAGGCCCCCACTGTACACCACAGGGCCCTCTATTACAAGCTGTTGTGCTGAATTCTCACGTGAAATATATGTCTCCAGGAAGCGCAGGATGTTTATGGAGATGACTGCATTAGCTCTTCTGAGGTATGGGCACACTACAAATTATAGTTAGCACAGAAGTGTTCAAAACTATGCTTCCAGTGTTGACAACAAGTATAGTCCTCTTCTGCAGTGATTCACCCACCTCACAGCCCAAGCAAATGGCATGCGGTATTTCCCCAATCTGCTGCAGAACTGCCTGTTGGATTTCAGTATCTTTTGTGCAAACTAAGGAAGAGATAAATAAAAATATTGATTAGGAACAGCACTTTACAGACTGTAAGGGAATGATAACACGAAATCCTTTTTCAGGCTACTATGCGAAAGCTTTGTGGAACTCTGGTTCACCAACCCACAGATTCTACTTTATAGAGGCCAAATAACACCCTCTGTGTTCAAACAGCTATAGAACATTCTTCGTTCTTTTCAGTCTGCTAATTCCTAAAGTAGAAAGTCTCTTTTTTTGGAAGATCAAATCTTTCCTTTCCTTTCCTTTTTCTTTTTTGACTTAAAAGATTTATCATCCTGAAAGTATTTTCAAATTTATACTCACTATCTGTCTAATATGTCATTTCATTCATTTGATAGAAGTCAGCAGAGCTGAACTACAAAGGGCTTTACAGGCTCCATGGTCACTGTCACAACTTCTGTGGTGGTGGCGGGGAAGCAGCCGTAGGACAATCCATAAGTGAATTAATGTGTGACTCTGTTTCAGCTAAACTTTCTTTGCAAAATCAGAAGCCAGACTGGATTTAGCCTGAACACTTTAGTTTGCTAGCTTTTGAGTGAGAGAATTCTTGTGAATATCTTAAGCTTCACCTTCCGTGGTTACATATGCTTACATTCAATTCTTATGAGTAATTTCCTTAAGTATATATTTTGCAAGAAAATATATTTTTTACATTTTTGTTATATTAAACAGTAGTATTTGCTTACTTAAAACTATGGCAATAGAGAAGAAAGAAGCAAAATACTATGTAAAGTTTCCATGTTCAAAATGCTTATTCCCTTTCTCCTTTCTGTTTTTACGTGAGTGCTATAATTTGCTGTAAAATTATGTAACTTTTTTTTCACTAAGCTCCTCACTAGTTTTGCTGATGATATAGCAGACTATCTTAACTTGTTTTTACTGAGACTGTTTCTAACTTTTCTATATTATAATACTGTGATCCTTGGGGATAAAATTTTATCTACATTTTTTCCATAGCAATCAATTCTCAGAAGTCAGAAATTACTATTCAAAAAAAGACATAAACCAAAAACATATACTGCAAAATTTCCTTGTGGGTATTGACTTCACCAGTAAGTGAATATTCAAAGCCATATATCTATCAAACTTCATAATTCAGCAAGGCAGTGTGGTTTAATTTCTTGAAAGTAACTGAATATTGTTTTCTTTCTCTTTGGGGGATCCTGAGGGTTGACTCCAAGGCCTTTGCACTGAGCTACATCCCCAGCCCTTTTTTATTTTATTTTTTTATTACTGCACGTTTTCAGTACATGTTTACATTCTTGTGTGAAGCTGATACATTTACAAAACACATCTTAATTCCTTTTCTCATCCTTCCCTCTGTCCGTCTCTCAATCCCTACTTCCATTTGAGAAAGATCTATCTCACCACTTCCTATTACCTCTCTTTCATTTTGCTCTTTATTCATAATTTCATTTGTTCATATAAGAGAAGCTCTGAGACAAGATCTTGTTAAGTTGCTAAATTGTCCAGGCTGGGCTTAAACTTGCCTTCCTACTGCCTCAGCCTCCCAGATTGCTGGGATTATAGGCGCGCGCTACCACCCCAGGCGGAAAGTAATTCGAAATATTTATAAGAAAACCACTCATTACCTTGTTGGAGTCTGGATTCTTAATATAAGGTTCAGCCCCACTTGCAATGTTTCCCGTCAGGACTTTTTCGATTTTGGCCACCAAAACAATTTCAGAATGTGGATCACTTACAGAAAATATAGCCTACGTACAAAAAAAGCAACTCATAAATATCTGGGAAATCACACTGCAGACATTTAAAAGCCTGACTTGTTTTTGAAAAGGGCAACTTTAAGAAATCTTTGTTTGGGAAATTTTTCCTCTTATGTGATCTATTGGTAAAAACACTGGGATAAGAATTTTCTGTCCCACCAAAAGTAAACAGAAGTACAACCTGCTTTGGAAACTTTAGCCATTCCTCTGGAAGGCCCTTGATATGAGGTTCTTCTGATTGTCTTGGGGTGATGGTGTCAATATTGCCATTTTCCAAAGCCATGGGAGCCCCCGGGAGCATCTGTCTGACAGCAGCGTGGTTTAAATCCACATGAAAATCGGCAGAAATCTTCCTGCTGTCTCTGAGGTCATAAAGTGCCACACTCACAAAAAAAGGCTCAATCTGCACGAAAAATATAGAACAGATGGTTTTGACAGAAAACTATAACCTGCGCACCGCCTCTTTCATACATCATTTCACAAAGTGCAAGGTACAATACAAGCAGAAAGTTGCCTTTCATTTAGGTTTTGTTGCTGTTGTTGTTGTTCCGGGAATCGAACTCAGGACCTTGCGCTTGCCAGACAGGTGCTTGTGCGGCTGAGCTTTATCCCTAGCCCACTCTTTCACTTAGGAAGAAGTAACCTGGACCTCTCCTGCTGAAGGTGCCTCAAATCCCAGGACTGCACTTCTTTTGTTTCTTCCTTCTAGTTTTGCCACTATGTATTCCTTGCCTTATGCTGCACTATACACAGCATGCAACTTTTTCCAGTTACTTTCTTTAAATTCTCACAACACACCTGTCACCTCAGTCTCCTTGGGCCCCTGGTGATATGCAATAGAATCCTAGAAGTTAGTATGCATTGAGAGATACGTCACTGGCCCAGCCAGTGCTCGGTTTTTAATTATAGTTTGATGGAATAATAATAACAGGAAATCTTCACTGAACATTTGCTATGTGTTTGCTGCTGTTCCAGATATGCCCAGTACCTTAGTGGATGATCTAGATATTACAATAGTGGGATAAGCAGGTAGGTAGACATTGAATTGTTAAGGAAGGATCCGTTGTCAGAGAGAGAAGGAAGCTTCTTAACAAGAGCTAATATCTCAGTTGAGGTTTCCTTTTTGTTTTTAACAATACTATTTTTCCCGTTTCTGAACTTTTGATAGTTTGTTCCTTTAAGGTCATGCAATGTCAACTTTGTTAGCATCTGCTACGTTAACCTCACTCTTCCGGTCACATGGTATTGCACTTTTTTTTAAGGTGACCACTTCTCCTTTGGTAATTGATTAGGATTTGTGGGATTACATTCCAGGATTCCTCCCTGTGTCTTACTGCTCATCAAAACCAGCCCGCCTGGCTTAACTTCCAATAACAACTCCCTGAACTACTGTGTTGGCCACCAATGAGGATTTTCTAATTTCATCGTTTCTCAACATGTATTAGTTAATAGTCTACTATAAAGACAAGCTTTCCTTTCTCTCTCATTTAAAAAATTCATGTATTTATTTATACACATATAAAATCATGGTTTACTATTCAACACATTTTAATTGCTTATGACTATTATTTATAGCAATGCTCAAATTGTCCCACATTTGGCAAAAGGCACTCACTTCAGAGTAGCTCCTCAATTATTTTGGCTGACTGACATCATGTTTTGAGTACTTTTTTTTGAGTAATTCTTTATCCAGCATATGTCCCAGGCTCACCTTACACTTTCTGGACCCCAGACATTTCCCCATGGGGCTCTGGTTCTTCCTGGTGAGGATGGTATTTTGAAACTAAGATCTGCATGCTTGTGTCATTGTCACTGGGACAGCACTGTCTCTGTGACTCCTCATTGCATGAAAGTAAAAACCCACAAGTATATATACACTAGCAATATTCAAGTATATCTACAATTCTCTCTCTATATATGTGTATATATATATTTCTTAAAAATGAATGGGTTCATGTTGATACTTTCATTTCCAATTCAAACACTCAAGGATTCCTTCTAATCTTTCTGGGTTTCATAACTGTGTATCCCCCAATAATGAGGAACCCGGAATTCATTCTCATTAATCTCTTTACTTCTTCATGCAATTAACTTACTGACTGGTTCAAAGTAACCACTCACCCTATATAGCTATATTTTTAATGCCGCCTTGAACTACCCTGAACCTGTATCCTGACAGGTCCAGGGGCATGCCATTTCTGCCCCCCCCACCACTGTTTTCTGTTCCCCACCCACCCTCAAGGCATTCTTGAATATTTACCCAGCTACAAGCTTCTGGCTTTCCCTTTAACCACTTCTTTAATGTCAGGAAAGAAGTTGAAGATGAAAAACAAAGGAAAGATGAAAAATAAAGGGAAAATGGGAAAGTAATGGAAGATAAGAAGAAACAGGGAGATTTCTTGGTTGAGGTTATAAGAAGAGGGAATGAGGTACAGAGTTGGTTGAAAGGACTTCTAGGAGTGGTGTATGCAAAGACATAAAAACATGAAAAGACACCGGAAAAGAATAATAGAGTGGCACTGGAATGGAGGCAGCAATTTAGTTAGAAAGTGTGGGGAAAGGCATATTAGAATCATTAAGGGTGTTTAGCAAAGGCGTTTGGAAATCCATAGCATGATTAATTGATGCATGGGTTAGTTGATGTGTATGTTAGTTGATCTGAGAAAGAGACATAAATAAGTAAGCCGCTATGTTTGAAGGAATTGATGCTTGCCATCTGCCAGCATTCTGTCAACAAGCAGGTTATACAAAAAGACCACATGATGACCCAGTTCATTATTACACAGTCTCACACACGGCTGTGGATCTCATTAAACACATAATGAGTATCTTCCACGCTTTGAAATCTAGTAATACAATTAGCTTATAATAGGGCTATGAGTCCTAAGTAGTAGCAGTGCTTGCTAGCTCCCTTCCCCTTGGAAATACAATTACACACAAAAATGAAATTTAATAAATTTTTAAAGAAAACCATGTAAATATGCAATAAATTTCATCTTTTGTCAATTTAATTTGTTCAGAAAAACCCTAGGTTTGAGGTAGTGATAGTCTGTCAAGATTTTTAAAAATGTAAAAATTAGAAGAATGTAATTCAGGCATGTATGAATTTAAAACACTCTGAAGGTAAAAAAAAAAAAAAATCCTCATTATTTTTGCTGAATTGTTGCATTTTGACTTTCATTTTTTTTTAGTGAATGGAAATAAATTGCTTACTTTGATGACCTTTCTGAAATTACACTCATGTGGTGATTCATTTATTTCTTCCAAGCCACCTTGTAAATATAATTGTCAAATCTTATTTTTTGAATCCTGGCTTTTCAGTGTAGGTTAATTTAACACAGCACCTTCAAAGTCTAGCAGATTAAGTCATAGGTTTCTGAGGCTTAGCATTCTGTTCTAAAATTTCAAGAACACGAGGTTGAAAATATAGCTCTGTTTGAAGAAGATTTATTTATTCAGATTTTTAGAATCAAGTCCTATTTTCAAAGAAATATTTCATACTATGAAACGATCAACTTGCATTTAGTTTTCAGTTTACTGACTAAAAAATTACATGCTGTCAAATATTTGTTTCTTTATCATGAAAAGTTTCTTTCAAGGCATCTGTAGATGTTCATTCATTAAATGTAGTCATTGGCTCTTCAGTAACTTGGAGAAATATTACAATTAATTTGAGCATGTTCATTGAATTAAGAATAATGGATTTTTTTAAAAAGTTATTTTATATGAAAATGTGTCACTGAAATATATATATATATATATATATATATATATATATATATAAAGATTCTCAGAAAAAAATGTCATTAAGTGACAAACTGCAGAGTGAAGGTGAGGTTGTTTTGTGTTGCTGATTATAGCCACAATGAAATTATTGTTCAAAGAGTAATTTTCTACTTTTTTTAAACATTGGCATCAACTGCAAGATGAATTAAAAACAGCACAAACATACAAAACACTCCACATCATCTAAACCTCATGGCTTTTCAGATATGAAAGGGCACAGGAAAGCTATTCTCTGAACTTGGCTTTGTTCCTGGCTGGTAGGACTGGCCCAAACACAGACGCTTAGAACTGGAATGTGCGTCTTAACACAAAGAAAAGACTCCATGTGGACAGAGTCATATGCTCGTGGCATTGGAAAGAAAAGCCCATTATGTCTGATTTTTAATTGGATTTTTTATTTGCATGTAAGGATGGGCTGGATAAAAGAAAAAAATCTAGTTTTAATAGGGTAACACAATGGTGACACTATGACTTGGGTTAAATTTTATTGAAATTTCCAAATAGTTTTAAAAAACCAAGCTTCTGGGTTTTTGCTTTGTTTTTAATTTAAATCCTGCATGAATGCATGGCTGGATGGCTACTCCTACCACTTTTCGCTACTTGGAGATAGCTCTTGCCGCAGTCACTGGTTATCTGTGCTGTGGACATCCTCTGTTCTGTCACTATTGGACTCCTCTCTGACTTCAGGTTAAGCAGCAACTGTGACAGTTCCATAGAGTTGACTCCTTGGTTTATCTCTACTCCAGGAGCAGATCCTTCTTAGTTCCTTCTCTACTCATCTTTTACCTATAGCACACCTGATCCCTTCTTCATGTACATCCTTTTTTTCAGTTTTCATTTTTATTACTCCAGACTTGCGGTACATGATTACATTCCTTGTGGGGAGTTGGTACACATACATAACACATCTCAATTCTTCTTTCCTCTCCTTCCTCCCTTCCCTCTCTCTCCATGTTTTGATCCTCTTCCCATTTGAAGAAGATCTACCTCACTACTTCCACTTATCTATCTAAATGACCCCCCTTGGGTAACTGTCTAAACTAGGCTCAAATGTGTTCCTCCATTCACTGTCACTCTTCAGAATTCAAACTTGCATTTGAATCTGCTCCAAACATGTCTCTATTTGATATTTAATAGACGTATCAGACTTAATGCTGTATATCCAAAATGGTATTTTAGATCTGCATCCTCCAAATCTGCTCATGCTCCAGCCTTGCCAACTTAGAAAATGGTACCACCACTCATTGAAATGTCCAACACAAAAACCAGGACTCATCCTTGTGATCTCCCTTTCTGTTATTCAGTAGGTCCAATCCCCCAGGAAAACGTGTCAGGACAGTCACATGTGAACATTTATTTCTTCCCTTCCTTGTCAGCTGTCACTGAAGCCACATAACAAAAGGTCACAGTGGCCTTCAATCTGATCTCCTGAACAACTCTGACTTCCTCCAATCCATTCTTCTGATGGAATCTTTATAAAGCACAAATTAGACCACGCTATTTTAAAGCACTTTAAGCTCTTGATGCGTCTCCGCTCACTCTAAGGTAAATCCATGTGCTTACCACTGGCTTATAAGGCCCATCTAATCCTACGTCTTAGTGTTTCTCCCATCTTGTTTCGACTGGCTCTTCCCTTTCTCCTCTTGTTCGCAGAACTTGCCAACACCTACCTGTCTTGGGGCATCTGTACTTGGTCTTTTTCTTCCTTAGAATGTTTTATTCTTGATCTGCCTTTTTATTCCCCTTAAACTTTAAGTCTCCATTCGAATATTACCTCCTGAGACAGGCCTTCATGACCACCCATCTACACCAACCCTGCCCCCAGTTCCTCTGCATCACAGCATTCTGTATATATTTTTTTAAAGAACTGTGAGGATAATTTGTTATTTGTTCTCGCTTACTCTTCATCCTTTCAAAAAAATTAATATTCAAGAGACCAGGGATCTCATTTATTTTTCTTCCTATCATTTTTTCAGGGGTTAAATCTGGCTCACAGGAACACTGAGTATTTGTTAAAGAACGAATAAACTTGATTTTCAGTTTTACTCACATCTAGAGCAGAGTTTAAGTTATAATATATAAAAAACCTTCATTCTGGGGCTAGGCTCATATTGGCACTGTTTCCATTCTAGCTTACTTGCTAACAAGAACTCACATGTAACATGAAAATATCAATGTCTTGCATGCATAAGTTTTACAAATTTCAAAGCTACTTTTCACATACTTAGACAACAGTAAATTTTTTTTTTTTGGTACCGGGAATTGAACTCATGACTTCAGCCTTGCCAGGCAAGCGCTTATGCCACTGAGCTACATCCCCAGCAACAGTAAATATTTTACAAATACTTACTTTGCCCTAAGCACTATGTATTTTCTATATACTACCTCACCTAATCTTCACACAGTATTTGAAATATATACTGTTATTAACCCCATTTACCTAGAGAAGCCTGAGGGCAAGCCACTCACCCAACATGGTACAGCTCTTAAGATGGAAAGTCAGGCAGGGTGATCTAGGAGCTGCACATCTCCCTGGATTTTCCTCATTAAATTTGGAGGTCCACACTGTGGACACTCTCCAGGGTTAGGAGGCTTCATGAGAATTTAAAGGTGCTAGAGACACAAGGCTAGTAGATATTGAAGAAATGTCTTTGAAAGAGTTAATTCTTTCTGCCAGACATTAACTGTCACAACTCACTAGGCTCCTTTCACTGTATCATAAATGGAAAAAGTTGTGGGATTGTGTATGCCCAGGTTACAGTGAAAAAGTAATGCTGTCCCTACCTTATGAGGCACCTATACTTGTCTCAAGGATCTGGAAATCAGAATTCTTCTTTGAGGTGAAAGGGAGAAGTGAGGGATGATTTATTAGAAATGAGAACCAGATGTATTGAAAGAGAATGAGAGGAAATATACCAAATAATTACCTGTGATTTATCCTGATGGTTGAATTATGAGTAATTTTTATTTTCTTCTTTACAGTTCATTGCTTAATAATGTTTATGCTCATAAAACACACCTTCCCACAAGAACATTTACAATTAGTCTAGAATTGTCCACTAGAATCTTAATAGAAAATTCTCAAGACAGTTCATTTGGTAGGAGAAAGAATCTTGCACAGATTCAGTGGGGATGATAGGGTTTCCAAGTACAGGTAAAGCACCTTTGTAATTTCTGCATTTGCATATACTATGTGAACCATTATGCATTTAAAATTTATCTAATATTATTTTGCTTGGTTTACTATTACGCTTTGCCTGAGCAATAATATTGTGAAACTACAGGACTGATTTGTTAGCTTTTGTTTTTCTGTAGCAGATGTGAAAACAAATATATAAGTTGGAATAAAATGTCAGTTTAAAAGCCATCTCAGGTACCACTAAGAGGATACAACACCTTAGGAAACTCTGAATCACTGGACTGGTATCGTGGGGTAAATTCCAGAACACTGTCCCTTTCATGAAGCTCCTTTAAATGAAAAGGAAAGTTCTGTGGCAATAAGTTGGCAATTCCACTTAGAATTTGTGGACTTTTGTTATGTGATAAAATGCCGTGAAACATACCCCTTGATACACTAGATATGAAGTCAGTGCTTAGAATTTTCAGAAATAGAAAGACTCTGATTAGGATGGTGTGATTTCGGTGACTGGTCTATGACGAAACAGAAGAGAAACTTACATTTGTGACTGGGTCATTTTCATTCTCTGTAACACATCCCTGAAGATTTAAGTTGAGAGCTCTACAAACGATCATGATTCTCTTGGCAGCTTTTTCTTCAAAGGGTTTGATCACAAAATCAGGTTCTAAAAGATCCTTTTTTTGAAGTTTCAAGGTCTAAAAAATTTTTTGAAAGTTTTAGTCACCACTTATCATAAAAAAGAATTTCTAAATTAGAATCCCCAATTGCTTGGGTCAAGTTCACATCTGCTCAGAAAGAACAGTGACTTACATCTATATCCGGATCCAGCGAGAACAGATTCAGCCTCTCCATGTTTCGAGTTGCCTTGACACTATCTTCCGTTTCTGTGAGGTACTATGGAGAAAGCTACGTTAGACTTTGGTCTCCAAATATCCAGCTCCAACTTGGCCACATTCATATGGTTAAGAAGCAGCCTGTCAGTACTATCACTGTTTTAATGCCAGCCATTTTTACTTGGCAGATCTGGAAAAACATGCTTTGATTTTTAAGAGCCGTGTGCTTTTTGAGTAAAACACTTACATTAATGGAACGTTTTGAATTAGTCTTTTAGTCTAACTCTAAAAAGAAAGCATTTCCATTTTTTGCATGAAACCCTCAAGTAACAAGCAGCTCAAATTCATGTGCAAATACAATGTGAGCTTTATTACTTTTGCGAAGTCTGGGTGTAGGCTGTTCTCCGAAGAGTCTGTTTCTTCCGTGGTGCATTCACAAGGTATAGAATTATCCAGCGGATCTTGAAAAGATACACCGAGACAGGTTATTAAATAATGTGAGTCATAGATCTTTGCAGCCTGTGAGATATAAAACAAGCTTAGACTCAAGTCCTCAGAGGGATGTGAGCGAGCCTCAATGTTTTGTCCTGTATCCAGTGCTCCATTGTTCTAGGCAATCAGGGTCTGGAAATGAGACCTCCTGCTGATCATTTTGGGATTCTAGCCATGACACTAAAATGTGACAATAAAGAGTTTGGATCTTTCCAACACTTTGTATATACTTGGGGATGTCTTGATCTACTCAACAGTACATACTAAAGTATTGTTAAATATGTGCATATTTAAAATATGTGTATATTTTTGATACTTCTCACTCTCAGGCCACCTCATTTAGAACCTGTCTTGTAGCTTCAGTTATTTAATGTCTGTAGGACACTGCAAACATTAATGCTGTAGTTGATCATTATGGAGAAAACAGTAATTGACTGTAGAACACTTACTATGGCACATTGAGGTTGGGTTGAAATCAAGATTAATTTTCATTCTCAGTATCTTGTGACTCTTTTGCTTTATAGCATATGATACTTCGGCTACTTGAATTTAAAGGTCTGTTGGTTTCCAATACACCATGGTGTTGGGCAAATGTTTTAACATAATTTTATTTCATCAATCATGGCTGACTATTGGTGGAGAGCTTGCCTTTTATCCATCTATGAATTGGTTTTCTACCCTTCCACCCTTTCTTATACTTTGTTATTCCCTTTTCTTGCCTGAGAATGAATTAGAATCTTATCTGGGAATTAGACTGGGCAGAAGACATTGTTTCTTCTAGCTTATAAAAATGTCTTTTATTACACATACTACTGGAGCATTCACATGTAATCTGATCTCAGTATGATCAAAAAAGCATAAATGAGAGCTGCCTTTTAACAAAGAGGAAGTAATGAATATTTGCCTGTACAGAGAATAAGATTCACTAATTAAATGCAATGAAAGGCAAAGACCCACAAAATACACTTATAGGTAGTTTCCCATCAGATATGGGTATATTTTTGATGCTGATAATAGATAATGTCCAACATTATTTGCTGGGAAACAGCTTCAAATCATTGACAGTCAACTCAAAATCATCCCTAAATGCAGTGACCACCACTATTCAGTATAAGTGAAGACTGAAGCTCTGGGATGGGTATGAACTAGTCTTCATAGCTACCACAATTACTAGCAGTTTAATGCACTAAAATACAGCTCATACTTGGCAAAGAAAGGGAGATGGCTTTATGAGTGCTCACCCAGCCCCAGTTCAGTGAGCTCCATGCTTCTCCTTCCCTGCAGGGGCCCCTCGGGACTGATCTGCAAGATGCGGTTGAGGGTGTGGATCCACTCGTCCATATCCGACTCTGTTTCAGCTGCCAGCACAAAATAGGTCAGGTCGTTCATTTTCAATTCAAAGGCATATTTTCTCAGTCTGTTATTCTGCGGTACACAAAGGAAGAAAAAAAGCAGTAAGACTCAGAGAGTGAGAACCATTTTATATAGGGTTGCAGTTCCAAAGTCTTTCCATACAGATGGGTATATAAAGAAAGCTTTCCAAAACAGGGCAAAATTTCAGATGGGCTTGAATGAGGTTGTTTGATTTCTTTCAAAGTTTTTTTTTGTCTGAAGGAATATTGTATTTCGGTTTTTTTTTTATCAGATTGGGCATGTGAGCTTAAATCTTTCCCCTTCAAGCATGAGTGTGAGTGTATACTGACCTTCATGAAACAATTGCCTTAATTTCTGCCTTTGATTTCTCACTGTATGTTCTACGATCACCCCAGTTGGGCTTCTAACTCCATCCCACCCCAGAGGCAGCACTTGCCAAGGTCACTATGACGTCTATGTTTCCTTAAGATCTAACAGTATTTTTTCCACTGAATCTTCCTTCCAGGAGAATTTATGTGGTGGCCACCTCCCTTTTCCTTGAAATTCCTCTTTCCCTGGTCTCCAGGACCAAACTCTATCCCAGTTTTCTTTCTACCTCATTAACTGCTATTTGCAATCTCCGCTGCTAGCTCTTCCTTCCCTTCGTGAGCTCTGATGATAATTCTGGCTCTACCTCAAGCTGTCTTCTTTCTCATTTAGTCCAGTGGTTTTGGATATCCATAAACAATGACACCCCAGTTCCATTCTTGGCTTTGGCTTCTCCACCAAACTCCATGTTCTTCTCTAACTTGACATCTTTGCTTTGCATTTGTAGACCAAACCAGGAGGTCTTGTGCTAGTTCCTTGGAGTGCTCCTGTCTTTGTTGCTCACAGCCCTGAGGCAGCCCCTGTGTCACAATCTCCCCTGCATGGTGAGTATGATGCCTGCCCTCATGTGTTTACAATCACTCTTCACATCTCAGCTGAAAACTTTCCTTACTTCCCCAGTCTCAGCCAAGGGGACAAAGCTTTGTCTTCCAGAGGACTTATAGTAATTTGGGATTACACGTCTATTCATTTTTTGGTTTGCTTTGATAAACATATGGCTCCCCCAAGCTGCCTCCATAAGCGCTGGGTCAATATTGCTTACCCTGTAAAAGTGCTACTGCATAGAAAGGCTCCATAGCGGAGCCAGCACAGTCTTGGTTTACGAGTGGAACAGAATCAGTTCCTATTTTTAGGAACTGACATTCTACCGGGAAATGGTGAATGGATAAATGATTGAAGTGATGACCAACAGTTAAAAAACAGGCATTCTTTTTTACACAGGGGATTAAAATGGGCTAATGTGATGAGTGATTACTTCAGGTTGGGTAGCTGCTGTCGTTGTTTTCTACCATGCTCCCTGCTAAAGGCTCATTTTATTGAAAGCGTGTTGCCCGCTGATGGGCTTTGAGACTCTAATTTCATCAGGGGGATTGACCAACCAAAGAAATTCGTAGCACAATGGGCTTATTAGGAACTGGGGCCTCATTGGATGAAGCAGGTGACTGGGTTGTGTCTTTGAAAGGGAAATCTTATCCTGAGCTCCTTTCTCTCAGGCCCAGATGTGCAGAAGCTGGCTTTCTATCCGCAGTGTTTAGGGCAGTAATATTATTCCTTCATAAAGGAGGTGTTGGTGGTGTTTGCGTTTTGTGCTGGGTGAAAAGAGACTTAGTCTGTTAGTATTGCCAGCACTCAGGGAGGCTGAGACAGAATTGCAAATTCAAGTCTTCTCTGGGAAACTTAGAGAGACCCTGTTTGAAACTTAATTAATAAAAAGGGGTTTGGGGTGTAGTTCATTGTGAAGGCTCTGAGTTATCTCCCTAGTACAGAAAGGAAAGAAAGAAAAAGAAAAAGAAGTGTACTTACATCTTGTACAAATGTTTCAAAGCAAGAACATTAGCCTCTGTGAGAGCACCAAATAGAAAGATTTGGGCAAGTGCAAGGTCAGAGGTGCATTTTGAGAAACTCATTTCAAATATAGTGGTAACGGTATAGTTTGAGGCAATGGCAATGGCCTCAAACTTATTGCGCAAAGCAAATATCTAGGGAGCTTGTCGAAGAATACAAATTCTGAGATGCCACCCTCTCCCCAGGAGGAATGGGGAAGACTCCTTCCAGCCTTCCTCATTGGCGCTTCTGGGAGACTGAGGAAGGAGGTCTACGAAACTGCCTGTGAACTTCACAGAGGGTCTAAGAGCGAAGATGGCTGGAGAGGAAGCGAGAGAAATTGTGGTTTCTCTCCATGAAACAATAGCAACAGAAGCAGAACTTCAGAAAAGAACGAGAAATGCCCAGTGTCTAAGTGATAGCTTTTGCTAGAACACTATCAAGTGTATCTGAACATCTGAGTACCGCAAAATGCAAGCACATCTTATTGGTGTCTTGAAAACAGATGTGAAAGAGTCTACCTAATTGGAGACTGCAAATAATGTGGCAGGGAGACATGAAACTCCGAACGATGCTTACTTTAAAATTAAGGTGGATCAAACAGCAACTTCCTTACAAATGCAGATGCCAAAGATGAATACAATTTTAGAAACAAAACAGTATAAAATATTAATGAGTTGATTTTCTAAATTGCATTCTGTACCTCACATAAGTTGAGTATGGTTGCCCACTTCAACAATATTAATAAATGATTGTTTTAAAACTTGAATAAAGTATAACAAGCATTTGTTTCTCAAGAAAAGAGTGTTTATAAATGAAATAGGTATTTTGTTTGCAATTTCTCAAAAACTAAACTCTTTTCTTTTTGAGAGAAGTAGAACTACTTGTAGAGAAGCTTACATTGGGAACAATTTTAACATGCTTGAGTGGTTTTGTATCTCTGTAATCTCAAAGATCATGACATACAGAACAATGAAAAAGAAAGGATAAAAATAGAAAATCAGTGGGACATTTTAATAACCTTGAAGTTTAATGTTAATTCATTAAAATAAGGACTAAAATAATTCTAAAATAACAGAATGAATCGTAATTTTATTCCTACTTCCCAATGCTTCCTCAAATCAGTGTACTTTGCAGAGAATACAACTACATTGCTCAAACTCATCAGCCTATCCGTATGACTTCATAAATAATAGGAAACCCAATATGTCCTAGTGGCATATAATGTATTTAATGACTTGTGGCAAGCTAGTCTACTTCCACAGTGTTCACCTGGAAAAGTTCCAAATTATACACACTTCAAGAAAACCACTCAAGCCAGTGGAAGACTGAGTGGTGAGGAAGTAAGTTACTGAACAAAATATTCCATTATGCCCAATATGCTACTAGCATCTTCCACTAAATTTTGCAAGCATGACAGTAGAGTTTTAAAAGGAAGCACACAACATCAAATCCAGGTTATTGGTGTTGGTGGTTCCTGACCATGATGTTTATCCACTTTCTGTAGCTTTATTTATTCATTCATTCAACAAAAATTCATTGGAGGACTCTTTTACGCTAGTCACATAGCACTGAAAAACATTCGAGTAAGGTACTTTTACATACTATACTTGCATTTAACATAACACAGTGTAACGGATGAGACAAACAGAAACATAACTTATGTGCAATATGATAGAATATAGCATCATGCACTGATAAATGTAATTTCATTCTTGCATATGTGGTCAGGGCTTACTGTTTGAAATGTGTTCCTCACGCCTTAGTTGTATAAGTCACATGTATTTTGCTTTCATTCTGTGCATCCATCCCATACGCTGGGGACACTTTTAAGACAAAAATCACATTTGTTTTTCATGATGCTTTCACATAGTAAAGCTTACCAACATATACTTGCTGAAATGAATTCTGAATCTAAAGTTCACTGTTTAAAACTGCATGAGAATCTATATTTGTGGTATTTCTTCTGCCCATATGGCTTACATAAGTTAAACGTATATATACATGGGCATGCCCACTGTATGTAAGATAAATACAGCACTAATAAAAGTGTCTTTCTGTGACTTAGGAGTTCTTCTGTCTGTAATCTACCTTCGCTATTTATTAGTTCTGTCTCTGTCTTGGGAGAGCCACTTTATCTGAGTATTATTTCAATAAACAGTGAAAGTAGTAATGTATATTCCATCAAGTGCTGCCAGTATAATACAGGAAGAAAGTTACAGGTGCCATATGGGTTGTTATTATCATGAGAAGTAAGATCTTTAAAGGTGCAGTTTGCCAATGGGAAACATGCAGGTCATACATGGCATCTACATGTGTTTTCCTTCACTTTCCCATGTATGTGGGCATGCACAACCCAAGCTGCTTCTACATCTCACAGCTGCCCACACTTGATCTGTAGAAGGCATCTGAACTTTTAGACTTTGGTTATACTCGAGGTCATTTTCTTGGAACCTATATCTATATGGTGGCGGAATCAGCACCTAGGAGGAAATAAAGTGCTGGTACCTTAGCATCTGTTTAACTCTGTGTAAAGTGAGGTTGACCATTATCCTTGTTTAAACAAGGATCCAGCTGAAAATCTTGGGTAACTCATTCTATTGTACAATGGCAGGGCTTGAGATAGGTGTTTGTATGGAAGGAAGAATGAATGAATGAGTGGATAGGTGAATGCATGCGATAGGGCAGCACAGACCTAAAAACCCCTTACTGTCCTAACAAAACTGAAGCAGCAAAAACTGAAAGTTCTGTCATAGATTAGAAGTGCAGTCCTGAAAAACAGATCTAGTACTGACTGATGATATTCAGAAAGTAGAGAAGTATAGTTTGGTCACTTTTTGTTTGTTATCAAGACCTAGGAACTTGCCAAATGTCACTTAAAGTCTTAGAGAAAGTGAATTGCAGGTTCTCTGTTCACGGTCAAGCTTGTAGTAAGTATATTCTATGAATCTCAGGAATTATTCTTAGGAAAACACAACAATATACATTGGATCTGAAAGAGGCAAATGAAAATGGTTTATTCACTAATGATTATTACGAGCTTGAGCTCACTAAGAATGCTGGATGATACAGTTTCTGAGACAAAGACTTTGTTCCTCTTTTCTGTGTGTGTGTTATTCAAGGAGACTGTCAATGATTCCTGACAAAATAATTCTGACTCATTGTAGTCATTCATTTGCTCTGTGCTTTTGTGTGTATGTGATTCATCCTTAGGAACATTTTGTGCCTGAGAGCTTACAAGAACAATTCTTAAACTTTGCACTATCTCGCTTGAAATCTTCCATCTAGATGTAAGAATTTATAAGCTAGAAACTTTCTGGCAGTTATGGACAAAGTGTGACCCAAACACAAGGTGACAAATCACCTATATCCCCAAAGTGATCTCACAAACCTTGAAGTCTCCGCCTGCAGAAAGGATGTAGATGACACCGGATTAAAGCTTTTGATAAACAGGAAGATAAATACATGAATTCTTTAAACTGTACATGTAGAAAACCTATCTTGTGGAATCCCACAGACAGATGCAGATTTTCTGTGTAGACTTGCAGCCTGACTTTTATCAGTTGTTACCGTTTTGTGCTCTCAGAATATTCCACACACTCTGCCATCTATACTTCTATTACAGGTTATCTGTACCAGTAACAGTGAGCACAAAACTGCCACTTTCTGATTTTGACTTTTGCAGGAAACTGAATTCCCTGTGCCTAAGCACAGACCCTAGCATATTCCAAGCAGCTGAATGAATGAATGAAGGAATGAACAAATAAAGAAATGTCTTAGCACATTTGTGTTGAAATTTCAGACGGCAAATCAAGATTTACTAAGAAGGCTTTCCCTTAAAGGAATGTCTACCTTCCAAAGTTGTAAACTTTAGAACGAATGGAACTAGGGAAGAAAGGGTGAAGATTCACCATCTTCCAGATCCTTTACACATTTCAGCATGGTTGTTCTAGTTTTATCAACAAGAAACCTGAGAACAAAGAGGTTGAGTCATTTACTCAAAGGCTTCAGATCAAAATTGGCAAAACTACGCTTTCCACGCTGACCTGCGTCCATTGCAAATGTGACTTTCACCTAAAAGAGTTTCTTTCATCTTTAAGCAGAGACTGAACCATTGTTTAAGTAAGAGATAACAGAGAAGGGCCTAGAGCGGAAAGTCAGACTGGGGCACTTAGGCGTGGGTTCGACACTCAGTTCTGTTCTTTGAAGAAGAAAAACATGGGATAGAGACTATCGCTGCAAGCTTCATGGAGAACAAAAGACTTTAAAAATGATGACTTGTTTGACAGGGTAAGCTTTTGAAGTACAAATGGAAACTATATTTTAAAATTTCAGCTCCCTGTCTGTAAAATGTAATTATTGATCTCTAAATTATTGCTAAAGATAAAACCTCATATTTCTAAGGCTGAAGAGTTTTTTCTGTTACCAACAATAGAAGTTCTCTCCGCCCTCCATTAAGATCTTTATTGCCCTTTCCATGTTGAAAGTTAGCATCTGCATTAGAGTGCAATTAGCTTCCATCTCTAGTAGAGTGCTCAGCAACACTTAATTAATTCTTTCCTCTTCAAGTTTAGCTTTCTTACTGGTTGGAGGAATTCCAGGTTTTAACAGAGCAACTGTCCAGAAATAGGCCTGGACTTACAGACTGAAGAGGCCTCTACTTTACCCCACATATCTGAATGCCCCCAGTAGTAGCTGAGGATGTGATCTCAGTGAAAACTTAACAAGCTCCGTGGGTGCTTGGGGCTTACTGATCACAGAAAGTACAGCTCTAGTAGGCACTGTTCAGATAACGGGCCTTGGCCTCAGGGAACCAGGGTCTTCCTGTGAAACTTGGGGGGAGATTTCATTGCCTCAATTTTTACACAAGAGGAAATAAGGGTAGATCTTACATCAGGGTGGACAGAGTAAATATTTTGAATGTAGTAACACCTGATATCTATGGAATGCAAGCGATCTGTAAAATCATTCTGTTTCCCTTTGCAACCGTGGTCCACGTGGTTTAATACTAAGCCAATAATCTGAAGAGGAAAAATTGGTAGAATAGCATTTATCCGTCTAGAAGCACTATGCCTGTTTCCGAAGTTAAACTCTTGGGAATCAGTGTAATCTTTATCTTTGAAGAAAATCTTCTCTTTGGAGAGGGAAAATGTGCACACTGTGAACTTGCTGTCTCATTGTTTCCCAGTTATAAAGGTAACATTTATGAAGTATAGGCTTTGAGCTATGTGATTTATGCATTAACTTACTTAATTTCCTTACTTTGGTTGTTCTTGTCACTGACCCATACAGGCAGGCATTTCCTTGAATAAACACAGCAGCCTGCTCTGGCCTCAGGCCCCGTGTACTTTGCTCTGTTAATTCTATAGTTCATAGGTAAATGGCCTCTTACAAAGGCTTTTCTCATCTTTTGAGCATTAATATTCCTTTCCGATCTTACCATTCATTTCTCTCCTTCATTATCCTATTTATTTAATTTTTATTCAAAAATTTACCTACTGACTGTATTTTGTTGGTTTATTTCTTTGCTTATGTCCTGTTTTTCTTTACTGGATGTAAGTTTTGTGGAGCCCAGAAATCTAGGCTGCCTTGTCCACTGTATTCCTAGAGTCTCTGGTAGTTTTAGGTTTATATGATATACTCCAAAAACATTTGTTAATATTTTTCAGCGAAAACAACTACTGAAAGGAAAAAAAAAAAGATTTCTACTCACCTGTACCACACCTGTACAGGAATCCAAAAAGATGCAGCCTTTGGGTTCTTTGGATATTTTTTCATCTTTGTAAAAATTCATAATGTAGGAATTATCTGGCAACTGAGTCAGCTGGAAGTAACGCTTTTTGAATGACTGAGGGAAGAAAAGGGTGGGGGAAAGAGTTCAAATTGCAAACGAAAAGTTGAATTTTAAAAATTCTTTGGGAATTTCTGTACTTCAAGGGCATTGTTCTAGAAAAGAACAGCCTACTTCCTCATAAATAAAACATTACAGGATACATAAACTCAATTCAAATGAGTCTCCTCTGCATTGTGATCACAAAGGGGAGCGTCAAGCAAGGTGACATGGGAGGGGTCGGTCTCCGTGTTTCCTTACCCGAACAGTGACGGTGTTGTTCACGGTGCTGTTGAAATTCCCCTTGTAGAGCCAGCCAGACTTGAAAACGCCAGACCCTCCGGCTCCCCCACCGCCCTTGGAAGACGAGTGGGAAGTGGTGTCCTGCACAAAAGGTGTCATGAGCATCCAGCCAGCTCTGTGAATCTCGCCTCTCAGACCCTGCCCTTAAAGAGCAGACTCCTTCTCCTCTCTTGGACTCATCCGCAATACTCATCTTCGAAGTCAAAGCAAATGTGGTTCACTTTGTCTAGCAGCTCCGTCACAGACACTTCCTACTTCTCACAGAAAACTGGCCAGAATGTGCCAACGCCAGTGCGAGGCAAAAACTAACTATTCTCACGTTAAGCACCCCTAACAGCTTAGTTACCTCATCCTTATCGGCGTCTTCATGGTCAACTTCAAAGGAATGTGAGGGAAGTTTCTCTGGTTTGTATTCTGCTCTGATATTAAAAAGAAAAGAAAAGAGCCTGGTTTGTCAGCTGACATTACGTTCATTTCCAGCTGTTTCCAAGGTAACAGCGATGATGCTAGCACTTTTAAAACGTCAAAAAAAATTTATTAGTACATATTTGTAGTACATAATGTTTACATTCCTCATACGGAGTTGGTCCATGCACATAACACAATGTTGGGGGGCTGGGGATTTAGCTCAGCGGCAAAGCGCCTGCCTGGCAAGCGCAAGGTCGTGAGTTCGGTTTCTGGTACCGGAGAAAAACCAAAACAACAACAACAACAACAACAACAACAACAAAAAAACATAACACAATGTTGTAATCTTAAGAGCTGTGAGGTTTCTATTTTCTTTGAAAGTACTTTTCCCTGTGTTACTATATATATCTTATCTCCAGTAAGTAAATATTTTTACAGTATGAAGCTACTATTTATATTGGTGTCTACACATCTTTTTAAGCTAGATGAAAGTGAGCAGAATCATTGTAGAGGTTTGGTACTTTATATCCTCTTGCTTCTGCAGGCTGACGTGAACTATTAAGTAGTGAAATTTTTATTACTTTTTCTGGGTCACCTATGAGATGTGGTGACTGTTTCAGTGTAAAAAGTTACAGTAAAAGAAACACTGTCATTTATCCACTCAAAATATTCCCCCTCACTTTGATCACACTTATCCCATTGATCTTGACATTTTCTGAAGCAGTTTTGGAAGTCTTTTCACATGAGTACCTTTGGTTTTGTTATGGGTCTGCTTTGATGTCTGGCCAATTCTGAACGTTTACCTTTCATGGTCCTTTTGACTTTGGGGATGAGCCAGAAGTCACACACTACCAGATCTGGTTGATAAAGTGGCTGAGGACACACCAGAGTGTGTTCACACGGCTGCCTTTCTGTTAGACGGCACTTGGTAGCAGCATTTTCTGTACGTTTCATCACATCTCATAAAGATACTTAGGAAAGAAGACTCCCAGAACTGCTTCAGGAAGTGGCAGCAGAGAAGTACAAAGGATCAAGATGTGAATCATTTATTTCTATGACTCACTGTATCACAGACATATTCTAATTAAAAAAGTAGCATAAAGGCTGGAATAACTGTGCTTGAAGCAAGGGGTAGTATTCTGAGGGATGGGGGTTAACTGCATGTGTCTTTGACTGAAAATAATAATAATAATATAATAATCATAATGTAAAAAGTTCAACATTCACCATACTTTTATCACACAGCTCGTACGTGCTCCAGATTGCAGGATGGTTGTCTGAAGAGGCCTCACCTCTGAAGAACCCTGTTCTGGAGACCAGCCTGTGCTATGCGCTGAGCTCCCCTACCTGCAGCCTCCTCAGAAGGCCACTCAAGGGGGCCTAGTGACAGTTATGCACACTTTGTGCATTCCCCTGGCAGCACAGAAATGCCTGCTTCAGACAGTGTCACCAACCCGCCCACAGGAATGGTTAAATGGAAACCGGGCAATGCTGCCCATGGTTCAGGCCTTTCTTGAGATCCAGCTCTTTGTCATCACTACTGCATCTAATCCTCCATGTGGAAACTCAAGGGATGTTTTCCTTTCTTTTCCTTTCCTTTCCTTTCCTCTCCTCTCCTCTCCTCTCCTCTCTTCTTTCCCTGCCCTGCCCTGCCCTGCCCTGCCCTGTCCTACCCTGCCTTTCCCTGCCCTTCCCTTTCATTTGTTTTTTTTTTGGTGGTACATGGAATTGAACTCAGAGCCTTCACACTAAGCTGTGTCTTCAGCCTTTATTTATTTATTTATTTTTGTTGTATTTTTTTCTGGTACCGGGAATCGAACTCATGACCTCGCGCTTGCCGGGCAGGCGCTGTGCCGCTGAGCTAAATGCCCAGCCCAGCCTTTATTTTTAACTCTTTTCTTGAGACAGGATCTCTCTGTTGCTAAGTTGTCCAGGCTGGGCTCAAACTTCGGATCCTCCTGGCCCACTGTCACAGAATGCTGGGATTACAGGTATGCATCACCGTGCTCATCTGTCTGTATTTTCTTCAAGATGACTTATAGTGTGTAGAAACAACCTCTGAATGTAACCATTAGAGGAAAAAAGATCGGAATATTTAATATTCCTATCACAAATTGTACCTTAAGTTGATGATAAATCCAGAAAAAGAAGAAAAATAATCTGGAACTCCTTGTACCTTAAGTATGCACACACATACTTCATGTGCATACACACAGGGTGTTAACTAATGGGTTAAAAATACTCTTTTACTCTCTGTTTGAAAGACATAAAATGTCTGATCTCAGTTTATAGCAGAAGTTAGCACAGACAAAGAGCATGGTCCTCACGGTTACACTAGGCAAAGTCTGAGATGAGAACCACATGGTTTACTCCTGATGAGAGGTTTTTAAATATTATGGTAAAATATTTGTAACACGATACAGTTCAGTAACATTAAGCACATTCACAGTGTTGTGTGCAAACACCATCATTGCCAGACCTTTCCCATCATCCCTCACTAAAATTCTGTACTCATGAAATAGTAATTTCCCATTTCCCTCTCTCCCAGCCCTGGTTACCACTGTGCTACTTTCTGTCTGTATGGATTTTACTATTCTAAGCCCTCACATAAGTGGAATTGTACAGGATTTATCTTTTTATGCCTGCTTTTGTCATTTAGCATAATGTCTTCAGGGCATCCGTGGTATAGGACCTGACTCCTCTTAACTCCTGAATAATATTCCATTGTAACTTGATAAGAGTATGAACCCTAAAATCATTTCCATGAAGGCATCCTGAGTTCTACTGTATTAGGGACCTTTTCTTACAGACTGCATCACTCTTCCCCATGCCCACCTGATTCTGTTACTTATGCACATGTTTTAGCCCTTTATCAGACTGTACATACCTTAAAGCCAGGAACTTTAATGAACTCCCACCCATATCTCACTCAGCTATCTCCCTTCCTTTTGTTATAGATGCTCAATATGCATTTGATGATTAGATCAATAAGAGGGTGAGGTGAGGAAGAATATCACAGAAGTAATAGGAAATGGTATAACTTCAGTGTTTTTGGTAGGTATTTTGATTATTATCTTTTTAGCTACGGAACATATTTTTGCTGATCAAAATCTTAAGAGGTGCATCTAACATATTGCTTGTGTTTTTAAAAAGTGTTTTACTATCATGATTTTCTTTTATAAATTCCAGTTATGAGATGTACTTGCTATCCAAATCAATAACAAAGGATAATAAAGTTGCTCTGAGAAACATTATTTGAGATTGGGAGCTGAGTATTATACTTGGAGTAAGGTCTTAGCTTCAGTTTTCTTTTCTATCCCTGTGTATAATATCGCTTTTCTCATCCCAGAGAGATTTACGTACCCAAAGAAGTTTAAATATATACGTACTTAGAAGTTTTGTACTAAAACTTAAATATGCATTAGGAAGCCTGTTGCATTTTAGCATATTATTATGTGTGGAATAAGACATTTGTGTACAGCATTAGGCCTCTACAATTTTACGATAAAAATTATTTCTAACAATTTTTTTTTTGTTTGTTTTGTTTTGGTACCAGGAACCGAACTCATGACCTTGCTCTTGCCAGGCAGGCACTGTGCCACTGAGCTAAATCCCGAGTCCCAAAGGCAGTTTTTTTTTTGGGGGGGGGTACCAGGAATTGAACTCACAACCTCGGGCTTGCTGGGCAGGCACTTGTACCGCTGAGCTATATCCCTGGTTATTTCTAACAATTATTTATACAAGCACACAGAGGAAGAGATTATAAGACTTATCTCTGAAATAATTCCTGTTTTAGGAAAGGAGAGTTCAAACCATCTCTAATAAACATGCTAAATACAACTGCAGCCATTTCTGTTCAAGAATTCTGATGTATCACAGTTAGTTTTTCTTCTTGCAGAGCTTTAGATTCTCAAGCTTTTCTACGACCCCTGCCATTGATGTTAACTTTTTCTGCTCCTTTTGGTCAGCATCACCTGTATGTGAAGACAGGGCAAGTGGAGGCTCTACAGTGTTATTTTAGGGTCACTAGCAAATTCTCCCTACCCTGTCAGAAATTCTTTTTCTCCTTAATATCATCTGCCACTCCTTGAAGAAAAAGCATCCCCTTTTACTTTGTCATTTGATTGACAAGATAAAGCCCTTAAATACAACCTTTCCTTTTCTCTAACTCCCAGGAGAGGTGCCGTGTCACAGAGATTCAGGGGCAGGTTCAAATGGGTGATTCCACAGCAATGATTTGAAACAGTTCTTCTGATGGGACAAAACATGAGTGTCCTAAGATTTTAAAAAATGATATGGCAGTAAAGCAAAGATGGCGACATCTCAAGGGAAAGGTAAATGAATGAGTAGGGAAAATTCAGAAAGAGGTAGCAAAGGTAAACTTGAACATGGAATGTCAAACTAAGCTCTACATCAGTCATTTTCATTAAACTTTCTTCAACATGGACACAACATTATTTATTTCTGAACTTCTTTTCACTTCTTTTGCCAGCATGGCATATCCTTTCTTCTCTTATAAAAGAATATTTTTGTAGGCAAGTGTTCTTGATAACTATGGATTACAATATTGGTCATGTTCTGCTATCTAACTTTTCTTATTATGATTTTCATAACACAGACAAAAAAGAGAGGAAACGGCATTTCAATGAGTAATGATACAATGGAAGAAAAGTAAGGGAACAAAGTCAGGTTTTCACTAATCTCAATGGGTGAGGTTAAATACTTGTGTTAGTTACATTCCCCTCGCTGGGACAAAATATCTGCTACCTGCAATCTAAAGGAGAGCTTTATTTTGACTCAGGTTTCAGTGGGTGCAGTCCACAATTGGCTGACTTCAAGGTAAAAATGGCATGGTGGCTGAACAGGGCAGAGGAAAGCTGCAATACCCATGGCATCCAGGAAACAGAGAAAGAAGAGCTAGGGATATGAATACCCTCTTCTAGGCCACACCCACAGTGACCCATCTTTTCTGACCAGGGCCCACCTCCTAAGAGCACATTTGGGTGTGAAG